GTTGCCTGAACGTTTCTGGGGCCAATTTGGATTTTTTGGAGGGAGCCTGAGCTCAACAAACAAGCACTGTCAGATCTGCAGTTGGCTGGTATCCTTGTCTGCAGAAGGCAGCCAACTAGGGCTAGGCTCCTTGCAAAAGCAGAGTGTGTACAGCTGTGTGTGTGTGTGTGTGAAAGCATGCTCTGTATGCGGGTGACAATCACACCCGTGTTCCTGTGTGGTTGTATGTGCCATTTGTGTGTGTGTTTAGAGATGGGCACATGAGTCCTGTCAGTTTCTAGTCACGGCAGCCCCTTTAAAAGCTTCAGAAAGATGGATTTCATGCGCAGATTTTAGCACCCTGGTTACACAGGGAAAAAAATGTGAGCATAGGGAGCTATTAAAGCCACAAATTTCCAGAAGAAATAATTAGCAGCAGCCATGACTGAGTAGTTATCGTGTTCCGGGCACTTTACAAAACACTCTCGTTTTATCTTTGAAACAATTCCAGGAAGCAAGGACTTTGTTTTTGTTAAATTTACAGATGGAAAACAGAGGCTCAGAAAGGTTATGTAACTTTCTTGAAGTCTCAGAGCCATGAAATTGCAAAGTCCAAATGTGCACCCAAGCAAGGTCACTGCAGAATGGACACCCCACCCCCTGCATCATAAGTGCCTCGCATTTCTATATTCTGAAAGTGTGTATGTGTGTGCAAGTGTTCATGCGCGTGTGCATGTGTGGAGAGAGTCTATGTTTTCTTGGGATTGAGTACCCAGAGAAGGTGATCAGAAACTCACAGAGTCCAAAAACTTAATTTGTATGACATCCACAGCCAGGCAGGGAGGAACTGCCCAAACCTTGCTACAGAGAAGAGGACTTGAATCTGATTCAGACATGAACCAGGTGGAAACAGAACTTGCATGCCAGATGGGGCAGGAATATGGGTGTACTGGATAGAATAATGCTACCCTGCAAAGATATCCTAACCCCTGGAACCTGTGACTATATTACCTTCCATGGCCAAAGGGACTTTGCAGGTATGATTAAGAATCTTGAGATACAGAGATTACCCTGGAATAGCCAATATAATCACATGGGTCCTTATAAGAGAGAGGTGGGAGGGTCACAGCAAGATTGGAAAATGCTACACTGCTGGCTTTGAAGATGAAGGGAGGGGCTACAAACCAAGGAATGTGGATGGCTTCTAGAAATTAGAAAAGGCAAGGGAACAGATGTTCTCCTAGAGCTTCCAGAAAGAACGCAGCCTTGCCTGCCAGTACCTTGACTAAGTGAAACCGTGTCGGGTATGTAATCTCTAGAACTATTATGTTGCTGTAAGCCACTAAGTTGTACTCTGTGACAGCAGCACTAAGAAGATAACACAGAGGGACTCCTTGAAGCCAGCTAGCATGCAATGGCGTCTCATGGGCTTCCTGGTAGTGTACACTTTCACCACTGAGTTAGACCCACTGGGGACAGTCTTTTAGTTTCAAGAGGCCTGATCCAGCCCCATGTGTAGACCAAGTCTGGGGACCTGCCTGCCTCATTCCACCTAGAACCACTTTGGCATTTGAAACTCTCACTGTTCCAAGACTCCAGGGGCTCCATTCATATGTCCATACATTGTCTCAAAATGGGGGAAGTTGGGTTTCCTCTACCAAAAGCCCTTTCACGCTTTCCCATCACTGTTAGACTCAAACCTTTGCAGGGAATGGCCCCTGCCCACCTCTCCAGCCTCATCTTCTGCTGTCCCGCCAAGCTCTGTTAAGCAACTCTCAACTCCCTTGCACTTGCTGTTCCTTCTTCTTTCAGTGCTTTTCCTCACCCTCTTTATTGGTCCAGCTCCTCTTTATCCTCAGGTCTCACTTCAGTGGTCGCCTTCTCTGAGGCCCCATCCTACTTAATGTCCCTCCCTCTGAGTTCTCACAGCTGCCCGTGCTTGTCCTTCAGAGTACTTACTCTGAGCTTAATTACGATGATCGATGTGGTCATTTAAAACATGTCCAAGTCTCTCATGAGAATGCCAGTCCGTGACAGCAGCCACCTCATCTCTTTTGTTTTCAGTTGTGTCCTCGCTGTCTACTGTCACATAGTCGTTTCTCCATAAATGTTCGTCACATGAATGAATAGCCCGTCTGCGTCTATTTGGACAGCAAGGTCAGAGCACCTTGGGAATCCACTTCCCACCACCTCCAGGGGTTGTCTGTTGGTGCCCAGAGGAGGAGACCATTAACATAACCTTTCTGGTGCCTCCGGAAGCATCCTGGGGAACGGGAGATGCCCACCCAACTTCACCGGATAGCCATCAGCTCCCCTTAAGTTGTGGACGGGCTTCCTGGCTCTGAGGCACCAGTAGGAATCATACAGTTAATCAGGCGTGGAGAGACATCACTGGAGAGCGACAGCCACTTACTTACAAGCACTGGGTGCTTGATGTGGGGACATCAGACAGGCAGACACAGCTAGCCTGCCCGTGGGGGCCGGGCTGCTCTCGGTCAGGGCAGGCCCTTCAGTGTCAAACACAGGGAGATGCCGTGACGCTTCGGCCTCAGCATCTGAGGACCCCTGAATGCTGCCCAGGGGAGGAAGCTGGAGGCACGTCTCATCCAACTGCTCACTTTATTGTCTGGGGTGAAGGCACGCAGAGCACAAAGCTTTTTCTAGGTCGTTGACTGGATAGGGGGTAGATTTAAGGCCATGGCTTTTAACCCTTGACTTATATGTTCTCTATTTCCAATAAAATTACATGCTAATTGTATTGTCTCACATAAAGTAGCTCATATTTATTACAGAAAGTTAAGAAAGTAGAGAGGAGTTCAGCTAACTGGGTGCTTAAGGGAAGAGGGTAGCACAGGTATTAAAGAAGGAAATAAAAGTTACTCATAATCCCACCACGTGGAAATAATCATAGTGAATATTTCAGTGTATTTCTTTTCTTTCTTTCTTTTCTTTCTTTTCTTTGGCCTAGTGCACACTAGGCAAATGTATTCAGATGAGCATGTTCCAAACCCGGCCTTATATCACAGTCACAGTTCTGCATGGATTTGGGAGTTTTCCTCCACTTAACATAATGAGGAGAGCATTTTCTCGTGTGATTTGTCCCACTGCTTCCTTACCAACTGAAGCATTTCTCAAAATGTGGCCAAAAATTCACCAGCACCAGCATCCCATAGGGAGCTACTCCAAACTACAGACTCTTGGAACTCATCCCAGTCCCATAGACTCTGAATGTTGAACACTCTTCTAGGGTAATCTAGATGGACCATCCATTTGCAGAACATACCCCATGCGGTGGCTCTCAACAGGACCACAGGCTGAATACTGGTTTCTGGTTGTAATCAAATCCATAACTGAGAAGTTTTAGAGCTGGGACCCCAGGCGTTGTTTTTTTTTTTTTTTTTTTAAATTCTTTCTTGGTCATTAACATGCATTGAAGGTTACAGGTGTCTTTCATAGTGCACATAGGACTTCCCTGCCAAGACTGGTAACAAGAAACATTCCTTAAGGGGTGAAGAAACTGAAATGTTTTATCACCAGGATAAAGACCCATCTATGACTCAGGTCTTCCATGACATAATTTGGACTTAGTTTCCTGCAAAGTTTTATTTCCAAATTTACTCTCCTTGGCTATTCAGGCCCTCCCTGTTCAGGCCCTGGCATTGGGGACTGCAGAGAGGTTGTTCGAATGGTCAGGCTACAGGAAACACCCCCACACCTGCCACCCCACTCATCCCTGTCTTTGAGCAGAGAAGGAAGGTCTGCCCAACCCTACTCTACTACCCTTTCTCTTTATTGGTCTGTACTGAATTCACAAATAACAAGGGTCACTATGCTGAGAGATCTGGATAATGATCTTCAATCTCATTTTCCATGCTGTTTGCTGCCACTGATAGAAGACACTCCCAGTACAATGCATGTTAATGGGGCCTTTTGGAGTTGATGACTAAATGATGGAAGGAGCAAGCATCTTGGGAGGGATGCGAGAGTGTGGGTTTGCAAGTGGTGGCAGGTGAGCCTTCTAGGTTTCCTGAGTAAAGTATGCTGCAGTTTAGAATTGGGTCATCTGTCCCATGCTCTCTTCCTGAGCTGGGTTGGCAAAGCTTGACTTAAGGCAGGAGGCCATGACGGACTTGATGGCAAGCAAAGATGGTTTGCTGATGCAGAGAACTAGATTCTAGCCCAGGCTTAGTGCGCTCTGTGCTTTGGGACCGCCCCCTTCACCACTGTCACCACCACTGATAGAGAGAGAACAAAATGTAACTACTTTCTGGCTAGATGAATCACTTCATCTGGCTGTGGATGAAGGGGAAAAAAATATGTGAGAACAAATGTGTGTCCAAAAAAAAGAAATATATATATATATGACACTGTGCAATTACCATCCCCTGCTTCCATTAGCTTGCCTCATTGTCTCATAACATTTTGTAATTCTATGGCATTGAAAGGCATCTTCAAATTTGTCTGCTCCAGACAACTTCAAACTGTTTCTTTAAATAGTGGAACCAACTTTCTGAAGGAAATCTAATTCAACAGCTAAAACAAATGAAAGAGATAAACACAGATGTACTCTGGATGAAATGGTGTTTTATAGCTCTCAGTATCACTCCCGCTATACCACTCCAGTGAGTGGCCCCAAGATGGTCTCTGAGGAATCTCTGGGGTGCCATAAAGCACAATTTGACAACGACCAACTTAGCCCAACACCTTCCCTTTTACAGATGAGGAAATTGCAGCCCGGAGAGGCAAAATTCAAGGCTAACATCCAGATTTCTCCACCCTACATTGAGGATTCTTTAGGGGAACAAGATGGCAGCTCAGTTGTTGGGTGTCTTACCCCAACTTCTGAGAAGTCAGAGGCAAAAGAGATAGAATCATGTGTGCAACTTGGTACCTACCAGTGATCATCAGATACTCAAGAATATGTGACCCAAAGAAGGTTTAAGGCCATCAGCCAGATACTGAGGGAGATGCTAGTGGTCCTGGTCCTGTAAGGTCTAGTATAACCCTGACTCTGCTTCCAGGCGCCTGGTGGACCGCCTAGAGAACATGAGGAAGAATGTGGCCGGGGATGGGGTGAACCGCTGCATCCTGTGTGGAGAACAGCTGGGGATGCTGGGCTCCGCCTGTGTGGTGTGTGAGGACTGTAAGAAGGTACCATCTCCCTCCCCTTCTCTGCTTCCCTGTGCATTCCTTGCAAAGGGCCTGAGCCTAGGTTCCAGGCTTTTGGGGGCCTTGGGTCTTAGGGATAGAGCTTGGATCCTGAAGGGTAATTGCTAGAATATGATTCCTTCTAGCATGCTCTTGTGCCTGTTCATGGTTCCTCCCCTAGATGTCATGCTGACCCTTCTATCCCTTTGGAGCTCTACTCCATACAGGATGACCTTGGGAAAATAAGGCAGAGCATGAACTATGGTTGAACTTACAGGTATTCTGGTTGTGGCTTAGCAAGATATTGGTCATCCTAAAGAGCATACTGGGGGACTTCCTGGTAATCTAGTGGTTGAGACTCTATGATTGCATCACAGGAGGGTGCAAGTTCAATCCCTGGTTGGGGAACTAAGATCCCATATGGCCAAAAAAAAAAAGTATGCTGGGCGTATGTCTACATACATGTGTACATGGAAAGCATACACAGCATGCTCTACCCTGGGTTATAGGACAAGCCATTTTAGAAACCCCCTCTCCAGCCAAGTTAGGCCAAGTTAGACTTTGGTCTTCTTAAGCATTCACTCTTTTTTTCTTTTTTTAAGATATTTTGACATGTACTATTTTTAAAGTCTTTATTGAATTTGTTACAATATTGTTTCTGTTTTATGTTTTGGTTTTTTGGCCATGAGACCTGTGGGATCTTAGCTTCCCCACCAGGGATCAAACCCACACCTCCTGCGTTAGAAGATGAGGTCCTAGCCACTGGACTGGCAGGAAAGCCTCAAGCATTCACTCGTGGGGCTTGTACCCTCTCCACCTTGTACCCTCTGCTCAAGTTGTCTGCACTCGACCATTCCGGGATAGAAACACAACTGTCCTTGCGTCCGTCTGATTCCCAGGAAAGGAATTCAAGGGAACAGTCCAGCTTGAGAGATCCATAATATCACCTGACTTCTCCTACTTGGGGTCCCAGTTAGCATTTAGAATGGAATATTGGGGAAAGAGTACTCCCAAAAACCTGCCTTCTGTATTCAACTAGATAGTGAGAATTTTGTGACCTATTTGTTTTGACTGGCAGGAAATTCAGCCAAAAGTATAATGTTCCATCACATAGTCACAGCATCTACTCAGATAACTTCCTTCTTTATAAAGAGTTGAACCTGTAGTCCTAGTCTAGGTTGTCTCCAATTCATTTAGGAAAGAAAGAAGAAATAAAGAAGAAATGGATAGATAGTCTCTTTTAAAAATTTATGTCAATGATCTCCCTGGTAGGGATGCTGAAAACTCAGGCCCCACAGAGACTCTTGGAGGATCTCTGCATTGAAGGCTTGGGAATGACTCCAGTTCTTGTTATCAGAAATCAACACTCAAATTAGAATTTTATTCTAACTGGCCTTGGTCATGGGAGGCAGATGAGGAACAAGGGAGAATGGGGCTTCATTGCCACCCTTCCCAGCCACTTCTGATTACCAGCAGCTCTGAGCCTGACATATCTTGAGTGTGTGCTGGGCTCTGTTTTGTCCCCAGAATGTCTGCACCAAGTGTGGGGTGGAGACCTCCAACAACCGCCCGCACCCTGTGTGGCTCTGCAAAATCTGCATCGAGCAGAGAGAGGTGAGTGGACTGGTCCCTTTCAGCTCCTGGAGCCTATTGTGTCAGTGCTCTGAGGGCAGGGGGCAAAGTGGAAAATTAGCATTCATCAGGATAGGAGCAGTAGTGCTCAGCTGCCATGGCTTCATCTTCTACTTCTCCTCCTCCAGGTGTGGAAGCGCTCTGGAGCGTGGTTCTTCAAGGGCTTCCCCAAACAGGTCCTCCCACAGCCTATGCCCATAAAGAAGACCAAGCCCCAGCAGCCAGTCAGTGAGCCTGTGCCCACTGCCCCTGAGCAGCCCACTCCTGAGCCCAAGCACCCTGCCCGGGCTCCTACTCGAGGTAGGAAAATGCAGCCTCTTCTTTCAGGACCAAGGACAGATCTTGACTAACTGGTCTACCTGGAGGATGTCCTGACATCATGTCTGTTTCTACCCAGCTGGTGGACAGCCAGCCAGCCTCTGGGCTTCAGTTTAGAACTCCTATGTCCCCTTCACAACTCAACCATGAGCCCTTATCAAGAGGGTAGCACAGGGAACTCTCCAGCAATGCCGGCTGCCAAAAGGCTTTGTTGTCATCCCTGATGGAGTATTTAGAGGTACAACAGAGGTGAAAGTCAAAATTAGGAACTGAGAAAGACTCCCAGCACCAAAATACACACTGGAGTCTGGAGGGCAGGGGATTGGAGGTTTGCCGAAAAGCCCTTATTTTCTCCTGATATTTCTTATATCAATCACCAGCAAATCTGAAACTGAACTAATTAAAAGTGAAAGATGAATAAAAAGGAAATTAGCAAAAAGAAAATTACTGCTACTATGGATATTATTACTATTATCTATTATTATTATTAAAATGATAATAAAAGAGTGAAAAACAGTAAAAAGAAAAAATGTAACCTCAATAGAACACATTTTAATTTAATAAGGCCACTAAGACTGACCACATAAAACTCTTGCAGTACTTTTGATTAACAAAGTGATAAAAACTGGTCTGAATGACAATTCTGGAGTTGAGTGCAGGCAGTACTTCTGAAAGGAAAGTTATAGTTGAAGGTTGCAAAAATTGAAGTGCCCACTTACAGCTTCTCAAGGCACCCAGTACCATGTCTGACACTCAAAAGGCCCTCAACAAATACTTTCATCCTAGCAAGGTGTGAGCAATTTCTGCTCCTTGCAGAGACTCACCAAACTGTCAACATACTCTATATCCCCGAGGAGCCCTGGGTTTCCATCACTAGAGCATCTTTCTTCCTGGTTAAGCATTACTCCATCTCAGTTGAGAAGACTGCCTAGCAAAACTGTCAGCATCTTGAACATCTGAGGCCAGGAATACTTGAATTTGAATTCCAGCTTTGCCACCTACAAGTTGTGTGAGCTTGGATGAGTATTCTAATTTCTCTGAAACTCTTCCCTCATCTATAAAATGAGGTTAATAACTCATGGGGTTATTTTGAAGATTAAATGAGATGCTACAGGCATACCTCGTTTTATTGCACCTTGCTTTATTGCACTTCACAGTAATTGCAGTTTTTCACACAAAAATATGATCTGTGATCAGTGGTCTTTGATGTTACCGTGGCAATTGTTTTGGCATTTTTTAAGCAATGAAATATTTTTAAATTAAGACATGTACATTTTTAAGACATAATGATATTTCACACATAATAGATTTAGAATTATGCCCATGATATGAGCTTTCAATATTCTTTTAACAAGCAATTACTGAACACCTAGTGAGTTCCAGGCTCTGTTCTACGCCCTAGGGAGTCAGTGAATAAAGCAGATAAAATCCGTGCTCTCATGCAATTAAAGTTTAGTGGGACAAACAGATGCTTGACAAACAGCAAATGCAAATACAATAAACATCAGGTAGCGATAGGTGCCTGGAAGAGAAGTGAAACACGTAGAGGGGATAGAAGCTTCATGTTGGGCAGAATGGTCAGAGAAGGGCTGTCTGAAGAGATGATATTTGGGAGAAACTGACCAAGGTGCTTTAAAGTGCACATAGAATCTTTGGGAATATCACTTGCAAAGGGCTTGAGGTTGGAGCATGCCTGATGAATCCTGGGGAAAATCAAAGTAAGTGAACAAAGTACATTCTAGAAACAATACAGAGCTGATGATCCTAACTCATTTGCAAAGGAAATAATGTGATATTGTAAGCAGTCTCTACATTAGAGGGGAAATTGGGAGAGGAAATTTTTAATTTTTTTTTTTTAGCTCTTAGGAATGGTGGACAGACCCTTTTGTGAGCTCCTTAAGTGATGCCTCTTCAAAAACATCAAATGCATACCCCTCATCAATTTTTTCTCTTTCTCTGCAGGTGACACTGAAGACAGGAGGGGCCCAGGTCAGAAGACAGGTGGGTTCTGCCGACTCTGTCTTCTACTCTGGGGATAGGAGTCCTTTCCCCCATTCCTCTGGTGCCTTTTCTGCATTCAATTCATGTTTTCCTTCCAGGCCCTGACATGACCTCTGCTCCTGGGCGAGGAAGCTATGGGCCTCCTGTGCGCAGGGCCTCTGAGGCACGAATGAGCTCCTCTGGCCGGGACTCAGACAGCTGGGACCAGAGCCATGGCACAGCTGCTGGGGATCCCAGCCAGAGCCCAGCAGGTGAGAGAGATGGGCAAATCCAGACAGGCTTCCTGGAAGAGGAGAATCAAAAGGAATGGGGAGGATAGTGTTTTATCCATTTATTCATTGGCCATTGGTATACATTCAGTGAACACTTGTTGAATGAGTGAGTGAGTCAATGGATGGATGAACAAGAACCAAAATGAACAAGCAAACAAGCTGTGTTAATGCAGGACCCTGGGACAAGACCTGGGGATTAGTTAGTCCCAGCCAAAGGTGGCCAAGTACTTTCTGTTCTGAGCATTCAAGCATCTCTCCTGTGAAAGAGGTTTCAATTCACGACTTAACCTGGTGGTCCAGAGGTTAGGACTCAACACTTTCCATCTCAGGGAGCATGAGTTTGATCCATGGTCAGAGAGCTAAGATCCCACAAGCCACTCAGCATGGCCAAAAAAAAAAAAAAAAAAAATCAGATTCCCTGGTGGTCCAGCGTTTAAGACTCCATGCTTCCAACGCAGGGGACATGGGTTTAATCCCTGGTTGGAGAACAAGGATCCCACATGCCACAGGGTGCAGCCAAAAAAAAGGATTTACTATAAATAAAGCCTTCACATTTTATTTCTGGAAATAAAAGTTATACATTTTTAAAAAAGATCTAAATTCAGGAAAGGTAGGATCCAGCCCAGCGAGGTGAGAGAGGAAAAGGCATTCTTTCAGGAATGTCTTACCTTCTGGGTACCAGGAGCTGCTATGTGTATCATCTGCATTTGATCCCCCAGCAGCTCTGCAAGAGGCAGTAGAACCTAACAGTCTCAGGTAGAATCCAGAGATCAAACACCTGAGTTCAAACCCTGTCTTTGCTACTAACCAGCCAGGAGACACTAGGTAAGCTCCTTAACTCCTCTGTGCCTCAATTTACCCATTTGTAAAATGACGCTCATAAAGCACCCACTTCACAGGGTGTGAAATTAAATAAGTTCTTATAAATAAACATCAGCCCTTTGTTATCAAGTGTGTAGAGTTATTGCCTGCATGAAGCATCTGAGGTTCAGAGAGGGTGAGTGACCAGCCCAAAGACACACAGCTTATAAAAGAAAAATCTGGAATGCAAAACGAAGTCCTCATGAGGATAAGAACAGTCTTTCAGGACTTCCTCAGCCATCCAGGGGTTAAGACTCAGTGCTTCCACTGTAGGAGGGGCACGGGTTCGATCCCTGGTTTGGAAACTAAGAACTCATATGCCACAAGGTGTGACCAAAAGAGAAATCTGCTTGATGCAAGTACCAAAATAAATTCCAAATTGATTTTTAAAAATAAAACAGCTTTTCAATAATAAATTATCAACATCTACCAGATGTTGAGTGTTTACTCTATGCCAGGCACTGTTCTGAGCACTTTACATGTATTGTATCATTATGTCTCCACCACAGCCTGTGAGCTAGGCACCGTTATCCCCATTTGACACATGAGGAGACTGAGGCCCAGAGAGGACAGGTCATTTGTGCAAAGTCATAGATGTTGGGAGCAACATTATAGAACCTGGGCTTTTCAATACCCACGTTGCTGCTGTGACTTGCTCAGGGGGATCTAAGTATTGACAAGAGAACACACTGAGGGGAGGAGAAGAGAGTCTGAAAGAGCCGAGAATGTCAGGGGGCTGCCTCCAGTTCATACCCAGAGACTGTACCTTCTGCTAGCTCACCAGTCCCAAGCTTCTTCCTGCTTTGACTGCATGTCTGTGTGTGTGTGACAGACTCTTTCCTTTCCCCTGCAGGTTTGAGACGGGCCAACTCAGTCCAGGCTTCTAGACCTGCCCCAGCCTCAATGCAGAGCCCGACACCTCCCCAGCCTGGGCAACTAGGTACCTGACACCCACTTGCCCGCCCAGGTTGTCACTCAGCTGTGACCCCAATACCTCCCACCCTTGCTCGCAGAATCTGCTGGGCTTTTTGCAAAGCTGCAGCCTCTGGCAAACCCTAAACTCTTCCAAGACCCTTAGAATGAGTAATACTCCAGGCTGGGAGCCCAGCAGGGGTGGGAGGGGGATGGGTAGTGTCATATCCACCTAAATGCACAAAGTAACAGTATTTCATCCCCCAGTGTGTCCCACCTTCCAGTATTGTCACTCCACTCTCACAATTCTCACCACATACGTCTACCATCTGCCATCTTATTTCCTTAATATTTTCTTCAAATTGACCTCCTTTAAAAGCATAACTGAGCGAAGTTGTTATCATAAACTCTCTCAAGGAAAATTTAAGGACCTTGGACTTTAATGAAAAGGCAAATGTTCTCAGACAGGTATGTGAGATTCAGGAAGAAATAGTGGGCAAGAGATTAGTAATATAAGAAAATTTGAGCACATGTGGCTTGTATAAAAGAATGGAAATAATTCCTAATAGGTGCATTTAAAAAGCTGTTATTTTAGGTACTTCCCTGATGGTCCAATGGCTAAGACTCCATGCTCCCAATGCAGGGGACCTGGGTTCAATCCCTGGTCAGGGAACTAGATCCCACATGACACAGTTAAGGACCCTGCAACAAACACTGAAGATCCCACATGCTGCAACTAAGACCTGGTGCAGCCAAATAATAAATAAATAAAATATTTAAAAAATTTTGTTATTTTAAAAGAAACCTATAATAAAGGGAAACCAGTATTCCATACCAGAAAAAAAGAGAGTGTATTATTAATAGTTTACTGGGGCAGTCATGAATATTCATTGGAAGGACTGGTGCTGAAGCTGAAGCTCCAATACTTTGGCCACCTGATGTGAAGAGCCAACTCATAGGAAAAAAGACCCTGATGCTGGGAAAGATTGAAGGCAGGAGGAGAAGGGGATGACAGAGGATGAGATGGTTGGATGGTATCACCCACTAAATGGACATGAATTTGAACAAACTCCAGGAGATAGTGAAGGACAGGGAGGCCTGACGTGCTGCAGTCCATGGATTCTCAAAGAATCAGACACAACTTAGCGACTAAACAGCACAAAGGGCAATCATAACAAATATCATAAGCTGGGTGGCTTAGAATAAAAGGGATGTATTGTGTCACAGTTCTAGAGGCCAAAAGTCCAAAATCAAGGTGTTGCCAGGGTTGGTTCCTTCCATGAGCTGTGAGGGAGAATGTGTCCCAGCCTCTCCTCTCGCTTCTGGGAGCCTTAGGCATTCCTTGGCTTGTAGAGGTATCTTCACATCATCCTCCTTCCATGCTTGGGTCCTGTGTGTCCAAATTTCCCCTCGTTATAAGGGCATAGTCATATCGGATTAGGGCCTAGCCTAATGACTGCATCTTAACTTGGTCATCTGCAAAGACCCTCTTCCTAAGTATTCACATTCACAGTGACTGAGAGTTTGGACTTGAACATCTTTGGGGTAACGCAATTCAACCTATTGAAGCTATTATAAAAATTAGTTTACTGGGTCTTCTGTGGTGGTCTAGTGGTTAGGAGTCTGCCTGCCAATGTAGGGGGACATGGGTTTGATCCTTATTCTGGGAAGATCCCACATGTCATGGGGCAAATAAATCGATGTACCACAACTACGGAGCCTATGTGCCTAGAACCTATGCTCTGCAACAAGAGACACCTGGACAATGAGAAGCCTGTGTACTGCAATGAAGAGTAGCCCCCACTCACCACAACTAGAGAAAGCTTTCACACAGCAACAAAGACCTAGTGCAGCCAAAAGTAAACGAATAAATCTTTTTTTTTTTCTTTTCCATTTATTTTTATTCATTGGAGGCTAATTACTTTACAATATTGTAGTGGTTTTTGCCATACATTGACATGAATCAGCCATGGATTTACATGTGTTCCCCATCCCGATCCCCCCTCCTGCCTCCCTCTCCACCCAATCCCTCTGGGTCTTCCCAGTGCACCAGCCCCAAGCACTTGTTTCATGCATCCAACCTGGGCTGGTGATCTGTTCCACCCTTGATAGTATACTTGTTTCAATGCTGTTCTCTCTGAACATCCCACCCTCGCCTTCTCCCACAGAGTCTAAAAGTCTGTTCTGTACATCTATGTCTCTTTTTCTGTTTTGCATATAGGGTTATCATTACCATCTTTTTAAATTCCATATATATGCGTTAGTATACTGTATTGGCCTTTATCTTTCTGGTTTACTTCACTCTGTATAATGGGCTCCGGTTTCATCCATCTCATTAGAACTGATTCAAATGAATTCTTTTTAATGGCTGAGTAATATTCCATAGTGTATATGTACCATATCTTTCTTATCCATTCGTCTGCTGATGGGCATCTAGGTTGCTTCCATGTCCTGGCTATTATAAACAGTGCTGCGATGAACATTGGGGTACACGTGTCTCTTTCAGATCTGGTTTCCTCGGTGTGTATGCCCAGAAGTGGGATTGCTGGGTCATATGGCAGTTCTATTTCCAGCTTTTTAAGAAATCTCCACACTGTTTTCCATAGTGACTGTACTAGTTTGCATTCCCACCAACAGTGTAAGAGGGTTCCCTTTTCTCCACACCCTCTCCAGCATTTATTGCTTGTAGACTTTTGGATAGCAGCCATTCTGGCTGGCATGTAATGGTACCTCATTGAGGTTTTGATTTGCATTTCTCTGATAATGAGTGATATTGAGCATCTTTTCATGTGTTTGTTAGCCATCTGTATGTCTTCTTTGGAGAAATGTCTGTTTAGATCTTTGGCCCATAAATCTTTAAAAGATTAATGTACTGAAGATAAAACAGTGCAGTGATATTCTCAGTACCCTGGTCTGCTGAAGGTTTGTAGCCTGAGGCCTGTCCTCTTTCGCTTTTTCAGAAGGGACACTTATAAAAGTTAGAGACGTGTGAAAGAAAAGTAGCACCTCAGTAAGACTTTTCCTGTGATGGGATCAGTATCAAACCAATGGATCCCAGAATGACTTTCTCACTGTGTCATTGAATGTTATTTTTATTTCATGCCCCAAACCTGTGGCTCTCTCCCACATCCTGAGCTTTGGAAATGTAGTTGTAGAGAATCCTCTGGACTGGTAATAACCCTATAATAATGGTGGACACAAAGCGTGGACTCGCCTGTTACCTTGTCAAGTGATTCTTATTCCATTAGCTCGTTGACCTCATAACAGCCAGCAAAATGTGAAGAGCAGGTATCACCAGCCCCACTTCACAGAGAGGAGGAAGCTGAGATTCAGGAAGGAAGGACTGGGGCTTGAAGCCAGGCCTCTCCAACCCCAGGATCCCCACAGTAGGACTGTTCCTGCACCTCTGGATACCTCTGCACATCATCCACTACCCCTGGGCCTCTGTCTCCACTGTGAAATGAGGGGGGAATGCTTGGGGCAAACACTCAAATGATGCCGCCTTCTCTGTTCCAAACTTCTTTCTCTCCTTGCCCCACTCAGGGCCCCCAGGAGGCAGCAGACCCAGTCCGGGGCCAATGGGACGCTTTCCAGATCAGAGACCAGGCAAGTGTTCACTTCTTTCTGTGCCTGTGTGGGTGACCACCTCTCTTTCACTAACTGGGAGAGAGAGAGTGACAGAGACAAGAGATAGAGAGACAGAGGCAGACAGAGAGAGAGAGCAGGGGCTAGCAGATGTTGGCCCATTCTGCTTCCTGAGACCTAGCTGATGATCTCTAAGGGATCCCCCTAATTCTAAAACTCTAGAGAGTCCATACTAACATTAGATGGACAGAAAATGACAATACATACAGTGGTTAAGAGCCCAGGCTGCCTGGATTCAAATCACTGCTTCTTCACTTCCCAACTGTGTGACCCTAGGTAAGTCACTTAACGTCCCTGAGCCTCAGTTTCCTCACCTCTAAAATGAGAATAACACAAAGACCTACCTCATAGAGTTGTTGTGAGGATTAAGTAAACTGATACATAGAAACCTTAGCACGTGGCCTCTGCCCATCACCTGCTGCCCCTGGGCCAGTATCTACACCTGTGAAATGGAGGCAGGGTGGTGCTTGGAGCAAAACACTCAAATGATGTGGCCTTCTCTGTTCCAAACTTCTTTCTTTCTTTGCCAAGATCACTCCAAGTGACAGTGATTATTACATGATATATATGTAACAACCCCAGTCACTACAACGTATTCACTGCTTGCTAATGCACCAGTTACTGTGCGATGTGCTCAGTTCCTCAGTCACATCTGACTCTTTGTGACCCCATGGACTGTAACCCACCAGGCCCCTCTGTCCATGGGATTTCCCAGGCAAGAATACTGGAGTAGGTTGCCATTTCCTCCTCCAGGGGACCTTCCCGACCCAGGGATCGAACCCATGTCTCCTGCATCTCCTTCATTGGCAGGTGGATTCTTTACCACTGAGCCTCCTGTGCATATATTAGAAAAAAAAGTTTAAATAATAGCTATTACTTTGTCAACAAAGGTCCATCTAGTCAAGGCTACAGTTTTTCCAGTAGTCATGTATGGATGTGAGAGTTGGACTATAAAGAAAGCTGAGTGCTGGAGAATTGATGCTTTTGAACTATGGTGTTGGAGAAGACTCTTGAGAGTCCCTTGGACTGCAAGGAGATCCAACCAGTCCATCCTAAAGGAAATCAGTCCTGAATATTCATTGGAAGTACTGATGCTGAAGCTGAAGCTCCAGTACTTTGGCCACTTGATGCAAAGAACTGACACATTGGAAAAGACTCTGATGCTGGGAAAAATTGCAGGCAGAAGGAGAAGGGGACGACAGAGGATGAGATGGTTGGATGGCATCACTGATTCAATGGACATGAGTTTGAGCAAGCTCCAGGGGTTGGTGATGGACAGGGAAGCCTGGTGTGCTGCGGTTCATGGGGTCGCAAAGAGTCAGACACGACTGAGCGACTGAACTGAACTGAACTGAACTATTTGAGCATGTTCAGGTCTTAAAATTCACCGTTTTGGGGATGAGGAAACTAAGGCTCAGAGACAAGTCACTTGCTCCAGGACACAGAGCTGAGATTCAAACTCAGGCTGCCTGGCTTCAGAGCCCACACCAGTGAGCGCTCTCAGTGAGGTCTGTTTTGCTTCCATTTGAATCAGCCTATGGGTCTTGTTATAAAACATAGATTCCAAGGCCCCATCACAGAGCCTTTAGATTCTAGCTGGGGCCCAGGAACCTGCGTTTTTGCAAACCTTCCTTGGGTGGTTTTGACAAAGGGGACATTCTGAGATCTGGAGAACAGCACAGTGTGCCCCACCACCGTCCAAGGGAAGTGTCAGTCCCCCCATTGCAGAGCAGTGGGTGATTCTGGTGCAAAGCTTGACAAGCACCTGGTTCATTGGTGCTCATCACTCGCAGTAACACTGCAGCAGTTGTCATCGCTAGAGTTCCAACACAGGGACTCAACAGCCTCTTTCTCACCCTCTTCCCATCTCCCCTGCAGAGGTGGCTCCCAGTGACCCTGACTATCCAGGGGCTGCCGCCCCACCCCGGGAGGAGAGAACCGGGGGAGTCGGAGGCTACTCGGCAGCTGGAACCAGGGAGGACCGAGCGGGCCACCCCCCAGGCCCCTATTCCCAAGCCTCTGCGGCTGCTCCCCAGCCAGTGGTGGCCCCGGCCCGTCAGCCCCCACCCCCTGAGGAGGATGAGGAGGAAGCCAACAGCTACGATTCAGATGAAGCAAGTAGGTGACTCGTAACAGAGGGGTGGCTGAAAAAGTCGCTTCAGTGGTCACGCCCTGGAAAACAGGAATGGGTCTGGGGACAGCCCTGTATACCCCAGCCCCCCATAAACATATTAGCCAAGTTATAAAAATACAAATTTGTGTTACTAAATTCACTATATGACATCAGCTTTCTGAAATATAGGTGCTATATGGTTTTCCATCATTGTAAAACACACATAACATCAATGTTACCTTTTACATCATTTTTTATGAGTACAATTCAACTACATTCACAATGTTCTACTGGGTGGTTTCATAGAATCATCATATGACCCAGCAATTCCACTCCTAGGTGTATACAAAGAGGCGTGTGTTTTAATAGTTTCCCAAACTCTTCAGTGTCTTTCAAAATTTAAAATTTTCTGGTATTTCCTCTTGCATCCATCCACTCGATGATTTATAAAGTGTCGACTCTATGCTTCTCTCACTCAGAGCCTGAGTCCCAAGGGGACACACACACACACACACACACACACACACACACCCCAGCGGCACTTCTGGGTGTGGCTGGGCGCTGCAGGGGAGAGCTGGGGTGGCCTTTGTGAGCTGGAAAGAAGCACAGATAGGTCATGTCTGGACCTGATTCACATTGTGAGGTTGGAGGGACATTCCAAGAGCTGCTGGTCAGACCGGGAGACTGGACCTGCTCCGAAGAAATGGACCAATGACTGTAATCGGTGGAATGGCTTTGGCCCTTCATGTTATCTCTCCTCATTGTAAAAAGGGGAGTGAATACTGCCTCCCATGCAGGGCTGAGCGGAGGGTAAACTGAGTTACCTCCTGAGAAAGGGCATCGAAAACGAGAAGTCATTTTATATAGTAGAAAACACACGCAAGACGTTTTGTATAGTACAGAGTACAAGTACAGGGTAAACTGAGGTACCTCTTGAGAAAGGGCATCAAAAACCAAAGATCATTTTATACAGTACAAAACACACATGAAGAATTATTATTACGCAACATGTGCATCAGAAGTAATAATAGTAATAGTCAACACTTGCTGAGCACTTATTTTGTGCCAGGCACTTTTCTAAGTGTGTTACGTGCATGTACTCACTTTAACCATCCCAGTGAGTCTAGGAATAGTTGCTTTTCTTATTCCAATTTCACAGATATGGAAATGGAGTCTCAGAGAGGTTCAAGGGCTTGTCCTAGTTCACATGGCCAGTGAGTAAGAGGGGCCGACGGTCAGTCTCAATGCTGCAGCAGATCGGAGGCCAGACCTGGAGGAAATATCAGCTGTCCTGTCTCCCCCAGGGGTCATTGGGCTGAAGACTTGGGGGAAAGGAATCTGAGCTGTCAGCCACAGGCTGCTTCTGCTCTGGAAAGGCACCATGTCTGTCCCACCAGAGCAGTGACCACTGCTCCCTCCATCCACCTGAAGTGTCTCTTCACTGACCTGCCAAGCCTAGAATATCCCTCCCAGCCTATGTATATCCCTAATAGGAGCTGTCCTTGATGATTTATAACAAGCCTGTCTCTCTATTTGGCTCCCTCCCTCACTCATCTCTGTATTGACAAGTATTTATTGAGCACCGACTAGGTGCCCCTAAACTATCATAAGTGCTAAGGATACCATGGCCAAAACAAACAAACAAAAAATGACAGACAAGATGGCTGGTCTAATGGAACTAGCATTCTAGTGGAAAGACATATAATGTACCAATGAGTTGATTTCAAATAGAGATAGAGCATGGTGAAGGAAATAAAATAGGGTGAATGACCAAGAAGGTAGCTGCTTTAGATGGAGCAATCAGAGAGGGCTTCTCTAAGGAGGTGGCATTTAAGTTAAACTGAGAAGTGGATAATGAGAAGTCACCAGCCACATGAGGATCTAGAGGAAGTGCATTCTAGACACAGGCAACAGCAAACTCTAAGGCTCGTTTATTCCTTCAGCAAGTCAGTGAGTGCCAGCTGTGTGCCCAGTGGGGACATAGCAGGGAACAAGACGGTCACAGCCTTACCCTCATGGTTCTCAACCTAGCGGATAGAAGTCGTTGACTAGTGCCGAGGGCTCCAAGGAAGAGAAGGGTCTCTGAGGATGAGGAGTCCAGATAAGTCTTCCTCTCCCCTGGAGGCTCAATGCCTATCCCAGACTGGACACATGGTAAGTGCTCAGGAAATGTTTGTTGAATGACTGAATGAGTGTCTTCTTGGTACCTGCCTCTGTCCCCTTCAGCCACCCTGGGTGCCCTGGAGTTCAGCCTTCTCTATGACCAGGACAACAGCTCCCTGCACTGCACCATCATAAAGGCCAAGGTGGGTGAGGGGGCCAAGCTGGGGACCGCTCAATATGCTCTGGCGTTTCTAGGGGGCTTGGGGAGGGCATGTGTTATCAGGCCTGTCTCCTGTCATGGCCTTGTCTATCTGTGACAGTGACAGTAATGAGAACAGTGCAGGAATTGGCCATGGCTAATTCCTTTAGGGGAGGCCTTCCTGTGGGGATGGCCCGGGAGGGGTTTCACTTAACTGTATCTGCCTCCTGGGAGTGAAGGCAACCAGGCTTCAAGGGCAGAGCTGAGACCTGCCCCATCCACAGCCTCTGGAGGGCACCGCAGAGGTGTCACCCAGGAGGCAGTGACAGCTGATCTTGACAGCTGACATCTCACTGAACAGCTCCTTCTACAGATGTGGCTGTCAAGCTGGAGTAGCAGACAGTCAGGAGCCTGTTGCAGATCGGGTGCGCTAAGTTACCTCAATAGTGTCTGACTCTTTGCAGCCCTATGGGCTATAGCCTGCCAGGCTCCCCTGTCCATGTGATTTCCCAAGCAAGAATACTGGAGTGGGTTCCCATTTCCTACTCCAGGGGATCTTCCCAACCCAGAGATGAAACCCACATCTCCTGTGGCTCCTGCATTGGCGGGCAGATACTTTACCGCTGAGCCACCTGGGAAACCCTGTTGTTGCAGATACAAGGACAGTCATCTGGTTTTTTGAGGGGGCAGGAAGGGCAGACCAGGTTGGAAGAGCATCTCTACGCTGCAGGTTCCAGGGGCAGTGAGCCGACCTCACTCTAGCCCCCGAGGAAAGCTGGATGATGCCAGTGCCAACCCCAGGAAGTGTTAAAAACTAACCAGGATCTCCCCTGCCCCAAGTCTGGTCTAGAGAGAACAAGCAAGGCTCAGGAACTAGACTTCCTGAGTTCTAACACCAGCTCTACTGCTCCTAGGTGTGGGACTTGGGGGAAGTTACTTAACCTGTCTGTGCCTTGGGGATAATAGTAGAGCCTCTCCCCATAAGGGCGATAGTGAGTATTACACAGAAGGTAGCTGGGTATCCCAGTTTGCACAGGTGGTCCCCATTATGCCTGTTGCCTTGCTAAAATAACTAAGAACTCTCCTTCCCACTCACAAAATGTCCCAGTTTGGATGATCAGTGATGTGTGAAATGCTTAACACAACTTCTAGGTCAACACACCCAGGTCACTTCTTCAGCAGGTGTTTAGATGCATTCACACCCCACCCCCAATAACACGGTGACGTAAAGCCCTACATTATCTTGCTTAATTTTCACAGGAACCTCTGAGGAAGAGATTGTTATTAGCCCCATTGTACAGATGGGAAAACGGAGGCTTAGAAAGTTAAAGCCTGAGGCCACTCAATGGTAAGGGATAGAGCTGGATTTGAATCTGGAGGTAATGGCCTCCAGCTTTAAAAATGGGAGAAAGCCACAACATGACAGACCCCTTGAGACAGGGGCTTAATGACTTAGGGGCTAGGTTGGTAATAGAGACAAGAAAAGCATGTGGAAAGTGTTAGGGAATGGTAGTAACTTCGGTAAACTGGTATGTTTACCAAACCAACATGTTCCAGTTTCAATTTGAAAACCACAACATCTGCTGATTTGCAAACTCACAATCCAAGCAGACATTCCAGAAATATTTATTAAATAGCTACTGTGTACCAGGAACTACCCTAATGCTGGAGAGTGTTAGAATGAGTCAGAATAGGCTGTGCTCTCATGAACTTTGTTCTGGAAATGGATAAGAAACCATCACCATTGCATCTCCTGAGTATTATTCGGGCTTCCCTGTTGACTCAGCAGTGAAAAATCCACCTGCAATTCAGGAGACACAGGAAACCCAGGTTCCATCCCTGGGTCAGGAAGATCCCCTGGAGAAGGAAATGACAACTCACTCAAATATTCCTGCTGGGAATTCCCATAGACTGAGGAGGCTGGTGGGCTACAGTCCATGTTGCAAAAGTTGGGTATAACTGAGTGGCTGAGCACTCTTGCACACACGAGTATTATTCACCCTCTGAGGCTTTCTACAGATTATTTTGTCCCATTTAATCTTCACAACAGATCTATGAGGAAGGTTCTATCGTCATTCCCCTTCTATAGACGGGGAAGTGGAGACCCGGGGAAGTTAAGGGACTTGCTCACGTCACAGAGCCAGGACGAAGTGAACCTGGGATTTGAACCAGTGTTGCCTTACCCACTAGGCTACCCAGCCAGATTTGCCCCTTGCACCCTACTTTGTGGCCTCCTGTCCCCATATAGTAGTAACAAACAATGGTCATACTTAACTTATGCCAGGACCAGAGCTCAGCCTTTGCAAATGAGCTCCTTTACTCCTCCAAGAATCCCTTGGAGCATTGGCTGTGCTCAGCCCCATTGAACAGATGGGGAAACTGAGGTTCCCAGAGATCACAGGACATAACACATGGGATTGGAGATTAGTGCTCTAAAAGGAGACCGTGGGAGCCCAGAGATAAGACACACGCCCAGCCAGGGCCTAGGGAGTGGACAACGTGTATCTGAGCCCCAGGAATTTTGGAATTGCTCATACTAACAAGCCCAACTTAACTCCTACCCCAGACAGACTCCTCTCCCTATGGTTGATTTGAGCCCCATGTCAGCTCTGAGAGGGACCAGACAGAGACTGTGATCTCCATCACACGGATGGAGAAACTGAGGTCTCAGACCAGGTGAAGAGGCCGGGGCCAGAACGCAAGCCTCCTCTCCCTAGCCTTTCCTCCTCTCCCACCCGTTCTGGGACATGTCCTTCCATCTCAGCAGTAACAGTCCAACCTTGATGGAGCACTTCCTGTGTGCCAGGCATTGTGCCAGACACTTTACAAGTTGGAACGCATTTAGATCTTACCAGCCCATGACACATCCTGTTTGACAGGTGAGGAAAATGAGACTCAGAGAGGTTGACCCTTGCCTAAGGTCACACAGCCAGTAAGTGACATTACCGGGCTTTAAACCTCATCTGCCTGACCAGTGCTCGTTCTGAGATGCTGCATTTCCTTTCTCTTTCTTCAGAGGAGAGCGCCCACAGGGCGGACCAGTAACTGCTCATTGCCTCTGAGAGCTGAGTGCCCAAGCCCTCCCCAGGCCCTCACACCATTGCCTTCTTGTCTTACAGGGACTGAAGCCCATGGATTCGAATGGCTTGGCTGATCCCTACGTTAAGCTGCACCTCCTGCCGGGAGCCAGCAAGGTACCATATGGCCTGGGCCTCTCGGCAAGCTGGGCAAATGGGCTCTGGAAAGCACCCAAGGTTCCCAGCTCAGAGCCTAAAATAGCCCTATCTGCCCCCAAGCCCCCTCTTCCCTGATTGGCAAAGTCCTTGCACAGGGTAAGGCATGGGCCAGAACCATCCTCCTTCAAGAGGCAGGGGCTCTGCTCATTTCTTCAGCTGAGAAACCAGGGATCCAGTAGACAAGCAGATGACCTCATTATGCCCTGACCTGCTCAAGTAGCTTCAGTGGCTCCCCAGTGCTGACCACGGTCACCTCCCCCACTCATTTTGTGCCTCAGCCAAACGTCTCTCAACAGAGATGAATAACCCTCTCCAGATAACTTGAGAAAATATTCTATCATTAAGAGAAAATGGGCCCACATCCCTCCTACCTTTCTCTCCCGTTCCACCTCACCTGCTGATCATTATTTTGTTCTGGGGAGGAAAAGTGGGATTAATTCTCCTTTCTTTGGATTGACCCCCTCAGAACACAAGGCTGGAAATGAAAGTGTACCTTCTTGAGTTTTTTTTGCTTTGTGTTCATTTGACATGAATGTCCTAAAAACAAAGCTGACTATATACTTGGTATTATACTATACACGTGATCTTAGGAAAACGCCTTTTCAAAAATTTCTGTAAGTATCAAATGCCCCATAAGACAAAAAAGGATACACATACACGTGTGCAGGCATACACACATATCACACACACACTTTATCTCAGTCTTTTTTTGTTTAGATCAAGAAAAGACAGTCCCATCGCTTCTCAGCCTTTAGGCTAAGATCAAGTGAAGAAAAGACAGTCCCGTCTGGCCATGGCCAGACTAGTTGGCCACTGCTCCTTCTAATCCGAGTGGCATTTGCCTCTCCTAGACACTCTCCTTTGCCCACTCCTAAATCCAAACCTACTTTGCTAAAGAATCCAATCAGTCATACATGTTAGTATGAATTAGATTTGTCACCAGGTGTATTTCTAGCCTTCACTCCTAGAGTAAAATGAAAAATTTTGTCCCCTCCAAGGAATTTCCAGCATGGAGGATGCTATTTGGGGAAATTGAGAGAATCATCCCAATATCCCCAGAAATTATGTCTTTACTGCCTAGGAGTGAGTGACTCTCATTTCTGCCTCCCTGTCCTGGAAATAATCGTTTTTCTCAAAGAAAGACATCATCGCTTTCTAATCTTTATGAAAAGGTCAATGAGAGGGCCCAGTGCCTGCAGGGAGGGGTAGCCCACTGTCCAGTGTTGGTGATGCACCCTAGAGCCTGACTCCAACTCCCCCGAGAACATGCACTTGGGAGAACAGACCCCTGGACACTCCTAAGGGGAGTGGACTCCTAAGTCACCCAGCCACCCTAAATGAGCCCAAGGGATGTGGCTGCAGGGCTGGCTCCCCACTGAGGCAGGTGTCTGTCTGTCCATCTCTCTGGGTTCTAGTCCAACAAGCTTCGTACAAAAACCCTGCGGAACACCAGAAACCCCATCTGGAATGAAACTCTGGTCTACCATGGCATCACAGACGAGGACATGCAGAGGAAGACCCTCAGGTGCCTGCTGGGTGGGAGGGCAGAGACGGGGCACAGCTGGGCAGGCAAGCACACGCGGTCCCCAGGAGCTGTGCCTTAAAACCCTCAGGGTAGTTTTACTTCTGAAAGATGTTATCTACTTCAAGTAGACATTTTTGAAAGTACAGATAAGAGAAACTGTTAACATCTTCATGTCTAGACATCTGGGTTTAGCGTGTGTATATTTGTGTGTGCGTGTGTGTGTGTGTGTGTAAAAGTATTTTTTTAAATAAAGTTAAGTATTTTTTAAAATGTTTATAAGAATGGACCATCCTATTGAGTAATCAGCCAGATTCACTTAACAACATACTGATGCCACTTCATATTCTTCTATAATGTATTAAAATGCATTAATAGAAGGGCATGGCAACCCATTCCAATATTCTTGCATGGAGAATCCCATGGACAGAGGAGCCTGGCAGGCTACAGTCCATGGGGATACAAAGAGTTGGACACAACTGAAGCGACTTAGCACACAATAAATGAGTACAGTCTTCTTGTGAAGAATTACTGAGAAAACAAAGCTGCCTTTAAATGTTCGTCCCTTCCCCAGCCTGGGTCTCTTTTCTCCTTCTGTGAGTGTGTGTATATTCATTATATACATACATGGTGGTGGTGGTTTAGTCGTTTTAGTCATGTCCAACTCTTTGCAACCCCATGGACTGTAGCCTGCCAGGCTCCTCTGTCCATGGGATTCTCCAGGCAAGAATACTGGAGTGGGTTGCATGCCCTCCTCCAGGGGATCTTCCTGACCCAGGGATCGAACCCACATCGCTTAGTCTCCTGCATTGGCAGACAGGTTCTTTATCTAGCGCCACCTGGGAAGCCGCATATACATATATAGTGTACATATATATACAAACACCATCATTTACAGTACAAGAAATATCTTGTTGAATATATCTGGAACTTGCCTTTTTCCTTAACAGTGTATCTTAGTGTTGTGGCCATGAGAAGACATTTAGATCCACCTAATTTTTTTTCAGGACATTTGTTTTACTTTTTAATTAGAATATATTTGCTTTGCAAGTTGTGTTGGTCTTTGCTGTACAACAGCGGGAATCAGCTTGAGTCTCCCCCCCACTCGCCCATCCCAGCTCTCTAGGTCATCACAGAGCCCCAAGCTGAGTTCCCTGTGCTGGACAGCAGCTTCCCTCTAGCTATTTATTTTGCACATTAGATCCACCTAATTTTTAACTGTTTCAGAGTATTCCATGGCATAGATTTATCACATATTTTTAAATGCTTTATTATTAAATATCATGAATATATATACAGGCTTCCGTGGTGGCTCAGATGGTAAATAATTCACCTGCAATGCGGGAGACCTGGGTTTGATCCCTGAGTTGGGAAGATCCCCTGGAGGAGGGAATGCCACCCACTCCAGTATTCTTACCTGGAGAATCCCATGGACAGAGGAGTCTACAGTCCATGGAGTCGCAAAGAGTCGGACATGACTGAGCGAGTAACACTTTTACAGAGTATTTAAAAAACCAAATACCCATGAATGCAATACTCTGTCTTTCAAAAACCTTAATATTTTGTTGTATTTGCTTCTGCTCTTTTTTGTAAAGAATTAAGCACCACAGATGCAAATTGAAGCTTCTCTTGTATACTCCATCCCCCAACCCTTTTCTTCTTCCTTCCGCAGGGCTAACCACTATTCTGAATTCTATGGGTATCATTCCCAAGCGTATCCTATGCTTCAGCTGCATAATTATGTGTCTATAAACAGTATATGATATTGTTTGGCATATCTTAAAGTGTTATATGACTGTTTACTGCTTTATTTATCCAGTTCCCTGTGCACAGACATTTAGACAGCTTCCAGCTTCTCTTTGTTATAAACGAATTTTCAGGGAGCATCTCTCACGCTTCCTTGTGTTCACTGAGTGTTTCCTTAGGATAGCAATCAAGGAGGAATATTTGCTGGATCACAGGATATGGGGTGTGGGTCTTTTTAATTTTACAAGACATACAAACTGCTCTTCAAAGGGGCTGTTCCAACTACATTCCTATCAGCTACAAAATTATCTTAAGCACACATTTTTATAGCAGTGTAACATCCATTTATAAAAGTGCACATGGGAAAAGTGTTCAGATAGATGAATTTTCACAAAGTGAACACACTGAGTTAAGAAAACAGAACACACCCAGAATCACCACCTCATCATACATCTCTTGTTATAGAATTGAAATATTGAAATAATAAATAATATTAAAAATATTGAAACTCCCTTAAAAAAAAAACAAAAACAACAAAAAAGAAAACAGAACATCCCTGGACCACGGAAGCCCTCCCCTGGTGTCCCTTTTCAGTGAGGACCTTTCCCCGCAGGGGGTTCACCACCCTTAACTTCTAACAGGACAGGTTCACTTAGTCTAGTTCTGTACTTTATACAATGAAATCATACCACATCATTCTTTTATGTCTGTTTTCTTTCATGTGATAGTCACCCGAGTTGTGTGTAGTTGTAAGTTGTTCTTTCTCATGGCTATTTAGTATTTCATTGTGTGGATATAACACGGTTTCATTTATTCATTCTACAGTTAATGGGCATTCGGTTGATTTTCTGTTTGGGGCTATCACAAGTAGTGCTGCTGGGAACATTGTAGTAGCTGTTTCTCGCATGCATTTCTGTCGTATATACACCTGGGAGTGTAATGACTGAGCCGCAGTATATGTATATGTTTAGCTTTAGTAGAAACTGCCAGTTTTCCATAGTTTTAGCAGAAACTGTGTTTACACTCCAACAAGCAGTGTCTGGGAGTTCCAGCCACGTCCTCATCAACACTTTTCATTTTGGCCATTCTGGTGAGTGTGTAGGGGTGCCACGTTGTGGTTTTTGCATTTCCCTGGTGAGTATTTACAACATTATTTTCAATGTGCACTGTTAACATTTCCAGGATTATTTCATAATTTTCTTAAGATGTCTCCCCATTATAGAATACTTACGTTATTTCTGCTTTTTCAGAATTACAAAGAAAACTGTAGTAAGGATCTTTAGTTACATATTTTTGCACTTAATGTCTTCAAGATAAATTCCTAGAAGTGGCATTGCTAGGTCAAATATGGTGACTATTTTTAAGTCTTTGGAGACACATTGTCCTGTAGAAAGGATGGTGGTGTTCACACCCCTACTGGCTGAATGGTGTGTACACATGGGGCTCGGAAGGAGGGTGTTCTAACCCTCTAGAATGATGAACCTTGTTCAGCAATTTTTTTTTATTTGAGTATACTCGTTCAACAAATGTTAATGGCCAAGAAGCAAGGTGCTGTTAGTTCCCATCTGCCCCCTTTGCCTTGGTGAGGGGGAAGTTCCTTCCTTCCTCTTAGTATATGTCAGGAAGAATTATCATGCCTCAGCTGGTCCTCTGGGTCTCCTGAGGTACCTTGCTCGTGAGCAGCCATTGTTGTGTCTCTAGCGTACGTAACGCCATAGAGAATGAATGGCAGAAGACAGCACAGTGTCCCAGGATGCAGGAGCTTCGCACTCTGGCGCTGCCCCTTGTGTGCTGTTTACTGACTCTTTGCGACCCCACAGACTGTAGCCTGCCTGACTCCTCCATCCATGGGGAGGAGTATCTTGCCTCCAGGCAAGAATACTGGAGTGGGCTGCCGTCTCTGCCCCTTACTAGGGAAAAATTATTCAGCCTTCCTGGGCCCCAGTGTTCCTCTCCAAAGTGGAAAACTCAAGAGGTTTTGGAGAAGAGAAAGGATTAAATGAGAAGAGGTCCTGGCCTAACTTTGCAAAATATGCTGCTCAAATGGCCATAAAGCAGATGAAAAGGGGGTTGAGCTTCATTACTCATCAGGGAAATGTAAATTAATACTACAAGGAGATAGATACTATGGCCTACTAATGCTAAAGTTAAAACTGACGAAATTAGAGTGAAGAACAACCAGGACCTGCATAAACTACTGGTAGGAATATAATTGGAGGAATCACTTTGGAAAACTGTTTAAATGTTTCTACTAAGGTTAAATTTGTGTGTTTAACCTCAGGAGAGACTTGGCTCAGCCTTACCCAATAGAAACACACACATGTGCATACAAAAAGACATGAATGTGAATATTCCATTGCAGCTTCATTCGTAGCAACTAGAACTAGCTCAAAACCAAATGCCCATATGTAGCAATATTATTAGAGTATATTTACATGATGGAATACTATACAACCAAAACAAGGACGAATTACTATAGACATAGATGAATCTCACAATGTTGAACAAAAGCCAAATGTAAAAGGATCCATACATCTGATTTTATTTATATGCAGGTCAGAAAAAGACACTGAATCTTGCCAAGGGGACAAAATGGTTATCTTTGAGGAAGTTAGTGACTAGGAGGAATCATGAGGGTCTTCTGGCAGCTGAAATGTTCTATATCTTGATCTGTCTGAGTGGTGGTTACATGGGTGTATGCATATTCAAAAATCCAGCAAGCTAAAAATTTTAAGTTTTGTGCATGTTACTGGTCGTTAAGTTATACAGTGATCAAGAAGAAATTAAAAATACCTGTTCAATAAATAGGAGGTTGTATTATTCCTGTGCACATTTTACATTCCCTACCATCATCAATCACAGCTCTTGGTACATAATAGGTGCTCAATACATGCTCTTTTTTTTTAAATCCCCATCCTTTATATTGACCACAGAATCTCTGTCTGTGATGAGGACAAGTTCGGCCATAATGAGTTTATTGGTGAGACCAGATTCTCCCTCAAGAAACTGAAGCCCAATCAGAGGAAGAACTTCAACATCTGTCTGGAGCGGGTCATCCCGGTAAGTGCCTATGCCCTGAGGGTTCAGTGAGGGAGAGGGTGGGATAGAGCTGTCAGGTGCCAGACAGGAGAGGGGCTGCAGCAGCTTTGGGGAGGAGGGTGAAGATTTCAGCTCAGAAATCAGGGTTGCCTCCTGGCTATGCCTTCTTCCAACCGTGGTTAGCATCACTTCTGAAGGGCAGTGTGATGTGGCAGGGTGGTCTGCCTGAGTTCAAAGCCCTACCATGTCCCTGCTCCCTGGCCTTCGCCAAGGGTCTGAACTATTCTGGACCTCAGTTTTTCTTGTCTATAAAATGGGCATCACAACAGCACCTGCCTCGTAGGAGGGTTGTGTGAAAGACATAACTAAAACAACCTTGCACATAATGGGCATTCATAAATTAACTGTTGTTACTATAGAAAATAATGCTGCCTTACCCACCTGTCAGTCAAGAAGTTCATAAAGCATTGCAGAGATTCACAGAAGGCAGGAGAGCATGGCGCTTAAGAGCATGGGCTCTGGAGCCAGACTGGGTTTGAGTCCCAGTTTCTGCCACTTACAGTATAACTTGAATCCCTTGGCTTAACCCCTCTGTGCTTCAGTTTTCTTATCTGTAAAATGGGAAAATATGGTACTAACCTCATATGGTCTTTTAAGGATTGATGTGAGAGTACATCTAAAGCATTACAACTGCTGTTGTGAGATGTGATACTCACCTTTTGAGAAAGAATGAGAACCACACAGACTGTTCAATTAGGCTGCACCTCAGAATCAACTGGAGATAGTAAAACTAGAGCTTTACAAAATAGATTTTGTGGAGGATCTCCCTGGATATTCTGACTTAGCGAGGAAGGGTGAGATCTAGCAATCTGTATTTTTAGAGATAATCCAACCTACCCAGTTTTTTTTTTTTTTTTAACCTCTGAGCCCCCTGAGGACCAGAAAGAGGAGGGAGTTGCTAAGATACACCACGAGTCGTTACCTCTGCTCCCAGACCACGGCCCAGTTTTCCTGCAGTGACCAGTGTGCCTCCTCACGGGGCACTGAGCCAGCGCCCTCAGGGAGGTGCCCGCAGCATCCTCCCACCAGATGGCCAGCCTCAGGAGGGACTCTCATGCATGCCACACCATGTTCTGTAGCACAGAGAAAGCAGCAAGGAAAACTTTACACTGGATGCCAGGCTCCAGTGAATCGCCGGATGTGCCTAGGAAGGAAGCCTTTCCTCTGGGTCTTTGCCTGGTAAAAGCTGGCTCTTCAGGCTTCATGTCCCCCCCCTCACTCAGTGAGTCCAGTCGGTCAGGGCAGGGCCAGGCCCGCATTCGGGTCTTCAGCTCCTGGGTCTGCCCATCTTGCTGTGATGGACACAGCCAGTCCCAGAGGCACAGAGGTGGCAGCACAGGCCTGCGCTGGGCCCAGAACCCTGCTGATCTTTGCTCTTAACCCTCTCACCATTGACTCCCTTCATGTGTCCCACCAAGGACAGGGACCTCCTAAGCACTGTGCCTTCTCCTCTGGACCTCAGTTTCCTCGTCTCTGAAGGGGAGAGGATGGATTTAACCAGTGCTTTTCACATTCTGTTCCCCGAAGGAGCCATGGGGGAAGAAGCATCTGGTGGACCAGATCTCAAGACCCCTGTGCCACTTCAACCAGAGCAGACAAAACCTTATCTGTTTTGTGGATCCGGTAGCCTGCCACTTACTGATAGTGTCATCATCTGCAACATGGGGACATTAATACAATCTACATCATAGGCTGTTGTGCATTAACATGGTCTCTCAAATGGTTAGCATTTTATATATGTATATATTAGCTGAAAGGGGGAGTGCTGGAGGGCTACTGAAGCTTGGAGGACCCCTCCTCACGGCTCTGGATGCTAGTGGAGGGGAGGAGGAGGGGTCTCCGGTCTTTCTTGAGTAGGGCAATGAGCCCCATTGACAGTGCTATTTTTCTTTTCTATCTCCCTCCTCAAGATGAAGCGTGCTGGGACCACCGGGTCAGCCCGAGGCATGGCCCTCTATGAGGAGGAGGTGAGCACTGAGTAAAATGGAAAAATACAGTTGAAGCCACAGTCGGGGTTTGGCATCTCCCTTTTCTCTCCCTCCCTGGCCCCCTTCCCACTCTTTCTCCCCAAACCACCTGCCTGTTGGTTCATAATGAGAGGTGCCCTTGCCCAGGGCATTAGAACATGAGACCAGGAGCATGCTCTTTGCACCTGGAGCTCCCACAGGAGACACCCTCATGTTCCTTGGCCTTGTTTGCAGAAGCTCTTCTAGTAATTCTGCTGCACTAGGGCATTGCCACGCGCCCCTTGGGAAGTCAGGGCAGGTTCTTTAAGCTGTGCGCCTGGCAGAGGCTCGAGTTGGGCTTCACAGCCATGCCCTCGGTCCCAGGCACTCCACTTTTGAGAAGACTGGTTGGATGGGGGGTTCTGAGTTCAGAATCGGGCTGGCATCAGGGTCAGGCTCAGTGTATGCCCAGAGTCAGACTTAGTCTGTGACTAAGTCAGAATAAAGCCACTGGCCCCCATGTGCCTAGGACTGGGCCTCTCGGCTTTCATCGTTTGCTCCTCCCTGGAGGTTGGAGGGGAGTGTCTGCTGTTCATGGTGCTGAACTGCACTCGTGCCGGCCCAAGTCCTCCTGCTTTCCACAGACTCTCTCTTAATGATCACCATCCGTGTTCCCAGACCCCATCCGTCCTAGACCCACACACCCTCTTCTACCGCAGCAGGTGGAGCGTATTGGTGACATAGAGGAACGTGGCAAGATCCTGGTGTCCCTCATGTACAGCACACAGCAGGGAGGCCTCATCGTGGGCATCATACGCTGCGTGCACCTGGCGGCCATGGATGCCAACGGCTACTCAGATCCATTTGTCAAGCTGTGAGTCAATGCCGGGGCCGGTCAATGGGCCCGAGATGGGGTCCTAGGTCCTTGCAAATGGAGAACTAGAGAGCGTCCCCAAGATCATTTTACGCTGAAGCCCAGAGAGGGCAAAGAACCTGCCCAAGGTCACACAGTGAGACAGATGCCCAGCTTAAGAGGTAATCAGTAGTGAAGCCCCAGACACCATCATCCAGGTTCTCAGTGATCCACTGGGAGAAAGTCCTGGCTAAGAGCACAGACTCCAGAGGCAACAGCTGGCTTGAGCCCTCAGCTATGTGACTGGAGGCACATGTTTCAAGTTCTCTGGTCCCTCAGTTTCCTTATATGTAAACGGGCAGTTGTACCATCTAGGGTTTGTTGAGGATTAAATGTGCATAAGGCGCTTAGGTAACGTCTGGCACCAGGTAAATGCTCTAATGCACACTGGTCATTATTAATGTTGATTCACTTTCTGATCTGTTCATTAATTATTCTCCTGACACTAGTTGGACATTTAGGGTCATCAGGAGGCTATTCCTATTCATTAAACTTCATTCATAATAGCCTCTTATGTCTCCTCTCAGCTGGCTGAAACCAGACATGGGAAAGAAAGCCAAACACAAGACTCAAATTAAGAAGAAAACCTTGAATCCTGAATTTAATGAGGTATGGTTGCCCCATTTTTTGTCATATGCTGTAATAGTTCCTATATGTGAAGGTGGAACAAATTCCCTGCTAGAAAGTTGTAAAGCACATTATTTTAGAAAAAGCTTTCTTTCACAGATCACCTTGAATTATCTAAAGAAGAAGGAATGAGTTCCTCATCACTGGAGGGAATCAAGCCTAAGACAAAAGCCTATAGATTTGGAATGTCAAAGGGAAGATGCTGTGTTTGGAGAGAGAGTGTCTTTATCAACTCTAATTGTGTATAATACTGATATTTGAGGAAATAAATAGGAGCAGTTGTCCCCCTTACCAGCCACCCAGGTGGCACTGCTCTGTCCCTCTCCCTCAATTCCCAGATCCTTCCAATGCATCCAGTCCTGCTAAAGCCACTCTCCAGATACCCATACAGATACAGTTCCTTCCTCTGTATTCGCACTGCGACTTGTCAAGGACCTAAATCCTCAACTCTTGGGCACTAGGTTATGGTCCAGCCACGCAGCTGGTAGGTGAAGCCATTAAAGTGGTGATTTAGAAAAAAAAATTATTAGTAAATAAAGAATAAAGTGGTGATGTAGAAAAAACTGCTAACATGCAAAATTATTTTTTACCATCTGTTATAAAATGGAAAAAGGAAACCACAGTACAGTATATTCATATTGTATTTCTATAATTTAATATTTGAATATTTCATATGATATAAAATTCAAATTAATATTCACATTGGTTTTTTAAGACATACACCAATATGGTCACACATGGGGAACGTTGACCGTGGTCATTCTTGGGTAGATAGATTAGAAGTTTGGTTTTGGGTTTTTGTAGGGAGGATGGGGTTGCTTCCATGTTTGTTTTAAAAGTGAACATGAGTGAATTTTATGATTAGGCAGAAGAGTTATTGAAAAAATCAGGTTATCTGAAAACATAAACACCTAAACCTCAACTACCTTTAATCTCTGAGTGATAAAGAGGGAGGAAAACCACTTCAGAAGCTATCGGAATGGAAGGACTGGGTTCATGTCTGCCTACCTTCAAGGAAATGTGAGCAGAATCAGCCTTCTTAGAAAAACCCCACCAGTCTTCCCAACTTCAAGCAGAGTCATTGAAAAGAGAATTACAGGGCCTGGGCAGCCTTGTTGTACAGAGTGTGTGTTGAAAGGGGATTATCAGGCCTGGGGTAAAGGCCCCCTTGATTCCAAATAGCCAATACAAGGGCCTCCCCTTGGTCCAAGCACCCCTAGGACTCAGCCTCTTAGCTCCTGATGCTGAAGGCTCAGAGAACCCTGTCACTCACATGCCCTCCTCTGCTGCATCTAGGAATTTTTCTATGACATCAAACACAGTGACCTGGCGAAGAAGTCACTGGACATCTCAGTCTGGGACTATGACATCGGCAAGTCCAATGATTACATTGGTGAGTGCTCCCAGCTCCCGGGCAAAATGCTATCCTCTATCCTCCCAGGAGATGCAGAGGTTTGAGGACCCTGCTTTACTCTGGCAATTACTTTGTCCAAATGCAAAGTCAGGACCCAGGGTCCTCATTTGGGTCCAGTTTGGGTTACAAAGCTGGGAAGATTGGATCATGATTGGTTATTTGCTGAACAAATCACCTCCAGTGGAATAAACAATTGCAGAGGAGAGGAGTGTGTGGCCTCTGCAGAAAATAGGGTGCAAAGGACATCTCCTTAGTCTATTGGCAAGTCCAGGATGAAGGTTCTATTGTTCCCAATCCCCCTCCAAATAATGAGGAGGCACCATCATTACCTGTGGAGCAGGGAGGGAATTCCAGACAATGGATACAGCTCCAGCAAAGGAGTGCAGGCGGGATTGAGCAGGGTGATGAAACTGGCTCCTTGGAAATGCATGACGAGTCCCCACAAGTGGTGAGAGAGAATTTCAATGAGCAGAGTGGTGATTTTAAAAAGGTCTTTAGGGACTTTCCTGATGGTCCAGAGATTAAGAATTCTCTGGATTCACCTCCCAGTGCAGAAAGTGTGGGTTTGATTCCTGGTCAGGGAGCTAGGATCCCACATGCCAAAAACATAAAACAGGAGCAATATTATAACATATTCAATAAAGACTTAAAAAAAATAAAGAAGGTCTTGAAAAATAGACAATGTAGTTATGACTTGATGCCCCAGTAGGGAGCCATTGCAGGTTCTTAAGCAGGGAGTCTGTAGACAAAGAAAACCAGTGGTAATAATAACATCACAACCACAACTTCCAGGAGAAAGGATGGATCCCAAGTGGCTGAGGGGAGGGGGGGTGGTCACTGCTTGGTGGCAGGTTTTCCCCCAGCTAGACATTTGGGTCTAGAATGAGATTCCCGTGCATCCCTCCACTCCGACCACCTGCCCTGTCTTTCCCTCTTGTCCTCCAGGAGGCTGCCAGCTGGGGATCTCGGCCAAGGGAGAGCGCTTAAAACACTGGTATGAGTGTCTGAAAAACAAGGACAAGAAGATCGAACGCTGGCACCAGCTACAGAATGAGAACCACGTGTCGAGTGATTAGGATGGCGCCCAGGTCCCCAACTCCATGCCCCAACCTTGTGCCCCTCACCCCCACCCCCAGCCTGCCCCAGCTGCCCATTGCATTCTGATCTCTCTTCTCAACACCTTCCCCACCCATCCCTCCTGGAACCTGCCTTTGAGGTCTCCCCTGCACCGCGGACATTGCCACCAATAACTCCGCTCTCCGAGAGGCTGTGATGCGGGCTCTGAATCCAGCCCGTCTCTGATCCCTCCAGGATGGAGCCGTAGGGATGGGAAGAGTTTCACAAGGAGGTTGTTCATTTAACAACCTCTCAGCCTGGATGAATTACAGAGGCTCTTCATCATTTAGGACTGTTTTTAGACCCTCCTGGCCTTGAACACACCTAACATCCATCCACCTATACCCTCAGCTGTCCGCAGAACTAGACAAGGTCATGAGGATGAGCCCTGGGACAGAAATGGAGTATCGCAGCTCCCTCACCCCCCACCTCTTCACATCATACACTCAATTGCGCCAAAACAGACCCGTGTGTTTAAACTCTCTGGTGACCAGGAACACACTTCCCGTCTCTAGATGCATCAAGAAATGACCATGCAGAATACCCCAAGGGACTGGGTAGCCCCCCTCTTTCAGAGTGTTCCCTATTTGCTTCCTAGCAGAAACTAGCCCCGTTCTGTACCACCCCTCTCCCACTTCTCCTTCCTTTCGCCCGATGCCACATTCACCTTTCGTCCTCACCCCCTTATCTCTTCTCTCCGCCCCCACCTCTTGCCCCTTCTTTCCCCCTCTCTGGGGGAATAGAATAGCAAAAGCAAAAATGTATATCTTAACACAGGCTCACCTCCTCGCCTCCTCTCAGAATCCTGAGCCACCACGTAGGTAGGTCCCTGCTCCTGTAACCCCTTCTCCCCTGGCAGAGCCGGGTGGACTTGGACCTCGGGCCACTCGCTAGCACTGCCCCGGGTGCATGGCAGCCTCCAGCAAGCTGTGTAGACACTCCGCGTAGAGGGCCTTTCTCGACCCCTGGCCTCCCCAGGTGGGCGCAGAAGGTATTCAAACCGGAGCCCTGGTTTCCAGGGGGCCTCTCCATAGAAGCCGCCGGCTTTCTCCTTCCTTTGCTCTTAGTTAAATGAACAAGTGACCGGTCCCCCTCTCTCTCTCTGACTCTCTGACTCTCTTGTATCCTACCTCTCACACAGAATCGTCTCTGGTCTCTCTGTCTCTCTCTGTCTCTTTATCTCTTGCGCCCTGTTCATTGTGTTGGGAGAATAAAACATCATCGTGAACATAAATGTTAGAAAGTGACAGATCCTGACCCAAAGGCTTTTGTTCCATCCTGGATTGTTCAGTCTTTCTAAAAGTTAAAAAAAAAAAATTGTTTTAAAAGAGGAAAAGGCAATGAGGCCAAACTTTATAAGATTTGAGGTCAGGTCATTTCCAGTGCCCTGCAAGAAAGTTTTGATTTTTTCCCCCCAATTTCCAGTACGTCTTCCTCCATGAAAATCACCCTGTTCCCTCCAAAACCCCACCATTATCTACAGAAGTAGCCAGATGGACACTAAAACTCTCACTGTCTCCAACGCACACCTCTTAGCCTTCCATTTCAGGGCCTTCTATCCTTAGCTCCCTTGACAAGTCATTGGAAGGCATCGATTTCTTGCCTTGAATAACCATTTTCTAGATGCCAGGCACTTTGCCTTCTCCACGATGGCCAGCAGCTTCCTGGCTGCCATCTTCCCTGCTGACCCTCTCTCTCCCCAGGGGCCCCCTTTGTGCCCATACTCAGCCCACCTCCTTCTCATGGTTTGCCCTTAGGAGAAAGCATGCTGGCTGTGTCGCCCAGGCCTAACGCTGGTATTGGCGCTGGACTCAGCATGCGGCTAGCTCACAGTGCCTCAGTCCAGGCGCGCCCCCTCCCTGACAGATGTAAGTACCTTCCTGCCTAGAACACACACACACACACACACACGCCCTCTGGTGCATGCAGAACCACCCATCGCCTTTCTTTGTGATGATGTAGCCAAAAATAAAGTAGGAATATCCAGGAAAACCAGTGGCCTGGGCTTTTGTCCTCTCTGGTTTCTGGAAGCTTTCTTTTCCCGCCGACATGCATGATGCCTACTCAGATAGTCAGTATTTAATGCACATTTACTGTGTTGCAGCCACTGGGGTTACAACACTGAACAAGGCAGATGTGGTCCCTAAGCCCATGAAGTGTGCTTTCTGGTGGATTTCACTTTGGAAAGGTGGGCTCCAGCCAACTTGGCTGAGCTCACACCCTTCTGAAAGAATGCTTTTTGCTGGTGTCCACTCAATAAGAAGGGAACATCCTCCTCTTCTCCTGCCTAGCCCAGCCTTGGGGAAAAACACCTAGTGGTTGTGGAATCAGATAATGTCAAGGCTGAAAGAGACTGTAGAGTTGAGCCAGAGTCTAGTTCAGTCAACTCACTTATCTGACAGATGAATAACCCAAAGTCCGGAGAGGGGAATGGCACACCCAACGTCTCATGGCCGCAATGCCAGGAAAGGAGCTAGATCAGTGGACTCCGTCCGTGTGCACTGCTCTTAACGCACCAATCCAAAGAGGCAACTCACCAAACACCTCCTTTTTATTCTAGCACTTTCCATCCTGCGGTGAGCCTTTTCAGAGAGGACCCCTCATTTGAGATTCTCATTGGTCCTGAATGTGAGCTAGTAAGTAAACTAACTTTTCAGAAGCATTTGGAAACTCCCTGCAAATGAAATTTTTCAGCTTACACCAAAAGTGCTTAAGCAACTCATCAGGAAGGTTGGTTACCTCTCAGAAGGAGCTGACAGTTCCATCCAAGGGAAACTTCTCTTCCATGCCAAGTTTGAGGCAGTTTCCTTTTCTCATCCCCAAAAGGGTGGTTTTCAAGGTTGGGAACAGAAGCTGGCATATTAGAGGAGGAGATTTTTTTTTTTTCCAAACTAGAGTTGTTTGCCCTGCCACCTTCTCTGCTCCCTTCAGATTCTGCTACACCCTGGGGACCGGAGATGTATTTGAAAACATTTCCTGTTTGATGGCTTGGTCTTCTGACCTCCATCATGATTTTGCAAACCTCTGCCCTAAAAATCCATCATTTTGTCTCTGATCCCGTCAGCTGCCACCAGGTGGAGAGGGGTGTCCATTAGGGCCACAGAGCTTTCTCGGGAATGGCAGGAGACCTGAGTTACCACTGTTTCCTGAACTCATGATGCACCACTAGACACTACTGCTGAGAAAGATTGAGGGCAGGAGGAGAAGGGGACGACAGAGGATGAGATGGTTGGATGGCATCACCAACTCGATGGACGTGAGTTTGAGCGAGCTCCAGGAGTTGGTGATGGACAGGGAAGCCTGGCATGCTGCAGTCCATGGGGTTGAGAAGAATCGGACATGACTGAGTGACTGAACTAACTCACTCTCCACAGAACCTACGAGCAGCATCTGTGTCCTGCTCAACACAGCAGTCTACACCCGGCATCCACCACCAGTAAGTCCTAAGCAGCTGAACAGAAGCCTAATTTCCACCTCTAAAATGGTTCATCTCCTTATCCGGGCATGGGACACCCTTAACGGGCTGAGATGAATATACATGAGGAAAGTTTTCATATATATCAGTACACCTAACTTGACTAATTTTCTTTGTCCCCACTGAAACCAAATATATCATAAGAGGGGATGCTGTGTCCTAAACATCACCAGACCAGGAAAGCACACCAGTTATTTAATCCTCTCAATGTGACATTCAGATCCTGTCACTTCCTAGCTGTGGAACTTCAGCTGAGCCTCAGTTTCCTCACGTGGAAAATGGGGACAATAATAAAGACCTCAAATAGGTGAGGCCAAGTTGTCAAAGACTGGTCTCCCCTCCGGGTTGACAAAGGTGAAGGTCGAGGGACTGGTGGCTCCTGGTGAAAGCTGGGCACAAGCCAAGTGGACTAAACACCCAGGTCTCTGAACCCCCCTGGGCTGGCCCCACCTCAGCTCAGTCAGACTTGCCAGGGGCCTTGCCTGATAAGGTTAATTAATAATAATAATGCAAGCACCATGGAAACAGAAATGGCTGTCCCTGCACGTAACAGGTATAATATTTTGCTTGGCTCTGGCCCAAATTTGCTTCATGAGCTTGAGCAAGTCTCTTCCTTCTATGGGTCTTCAACTCTGTAGGCAGGACATCAGTGTCCTGATTCTCTCACTTGGTTTCCCAGGCCCACAGATGTGTCTTCATTTCCCAGTCATTCAAAGAAGACCTAGACCATCTCATTGAAGGCAGACCCCCTGACTGAAATCCTGTATAATCTGTCTCACATAAAACACACGAGAGAAAAAAAAACCCACGAGAATGAGCCATCTGTGATTTCCTATGCCTGTTTCTTTAAAGGAAACAAGGACACAAAGCCATGTGCGAAAGCATGAGGGCCTAATTCTGGACTTTTCCAACTATGCCCTCAGTCCTTTCACAGTTGTCTCCCTCGTACTTAACTCTACGCAGTGTTTCAGGGAACTTGGCTTTATTACATCTTGCCAAAGAATTCAGTGCTGGTTTTCTAAGGACAGATCTCTTTTGCACTCGGGGCATCACTGACTCAATTTGACATGAGTTTGAGCAAACTCCGGGAGATAGTGAAGGACAGGGAAGCCTGGCATGCTGCAGTCCCTGGGGTCACAAAGAGTCAGACATGACTTAGTGACTGAACAACAACAAGGATTTGTTTACATATATTTTGTCAAAAGTATATATTTCATTAATATGTATGATTGCCCAAAAGTCATTTGGGAGCAAACAGAATCTCTGATAAACATATATTCCGAATGTATGTACAGAGTGTTACATAGATGGATACCCATCCCCTTTATGGTTCCACATGTCTTAGGCATAAGTCAATATGTTACACAGAAGAAGTGGGGAGTGTCAATTGATGAACTGGTTAAGACAAGGGTGATTCAGAAAGATAGCTAATTGGCACTTATAGACCGCTTTACCCAACAACAGTCGAATACACATGTTTCTCAAGCTCACGTGGGACATTCACCAAGAAAGACCACTGTTGGGCCCATAGAGTGCACCTTAACAGATTCAGAAGAATACAAGGTATGCTGTCTACCACAACAGAATTAAACAAGAAATGAAGAAAAGAAAGATACTTGGAGAATTCCAGCATCTTTGAAGATTAATTAACACATGGGTCCAAAAGTCTAATAGACATGGAAAAAATATTTTGCATTCAAGGAAAAGAAAAAAAACAACCAATTAAAATCTTGAGATGCAGTGAAAGCAGCCCTTAGAGGAAAACTTTTAGCGCTAAATACATATATTAGAAGAAGAGAAACATCTAAACTCAGAGAGAGATGAGTTGGTGGAGCAAGAGGTGAAAACATTCTGGGGTGATTTCATAATTAGTGGAGACAAGACATTATGATTTGGGCAAAGTCATAAAATGTACAACAGAGTGAACTGTAGAGTAAACTTTGAGCTTTGTTTAATAATAACATGTGAGAGGGTAATAGACAGGAAGGCCGGGGGTCTCCAAATGGAGGAAATAGGCTGCAAGTGTCAGACATTTTTCATCTCTGTCTTAAGTGTCAGGAGGAAACAAACTAGTGTTATATATTTTCCCCTTCTCTATACTGAGGGAGGAAAATGTTAGGTAGTTAGAATAAGAAAAATGAGTCCAGAATGGTGGTGGCTAAAAGACCTGGAAGGGAAAAGCCCATGAAAATATAACAAAGGAAGGTCCGAGGACTGGAGTGAGGACCTCAGGTAAAACAAACAGCACTCCTGACTGGCCCAATTAAATAGGACAGGCCCAGGGAGAGAGAAACATATAAATAGAGGAGCCAAAGCTAGCTCTCGCTCTCTCCCCTGCGTGCTGGGACTCTCTTTGCTTCGCGTCTTTGGATCAACGTGCTCTCACACCTTGAAGATGGATTTTCCTGCTATCTTCTAAATAAAATAGAGGTGTAACATTGATTTGTCTAAGAGCTATAACACGGTCCGTTCGAGACCTGAGAGCTATAACATGGTCTGTCCAAGACCCGAGAGCTGTGACACCCCGAGGGGCGTGAATGTCTGTCACTCCAAATCTTTGTTTTGATGAGACAAAGAACTGAGGAGCATACACTCGCCTGACAAAAGGAACAGGCTGAGCTGACTCCATCTTGAAAAAGAAGGAAACTCCATCTTGCACTTTCAGTGAACTTTGGACCATGTGCCTGGTAGCCATGGGGATAACATACCTACAGCTGAACTGGCCGCCTGGACTGATACACACCAGATTCCATACCAAGATTTCCCATCGCCAAAAAGAATGTAATAACCCCTATGCAGTCAATCATCTTTGTAATCTTTATGGCCCCCGTTGGTATAGGCTACAGTGTATAACCAGCTGACCCTTCTGATTATGAATCATGGCTGTAACCTGATTGTATCTCCCTTTAACACTTTCCAGGCTAGGTTTAAGGAATTTGGGGAAGTGGGCTTAAGCAGTACACTTAAGGTATATAAGGTTTTCACAAAAGTTGGTTGGGGTCCTTGGCTAAGAGGAGACTCTGTATTAAGAGGAGACTCTGCTGGTGTAATAAACTGCACTCCACTATCTGCATTGTCCTTCTGAGTGAGTTTGTTTCCCAGAATGCGTGGCTATAACATACAAATTTTAAAAGAGGTTTTTCTTAAAATTCTGTATTGCCATAATGACACCTGGTTCCACCTGAACTCCTCCGTCCATGGGATTCTCCAGGCAGGAATACTGGAGCAGAGGAGCCTGGTGGGCTATATATATAGTCCATGGGGTCGCAGAGAGTCGGGCACGACTGAGCGACTTCACTTTCACTTTCATTTTCTACCTGAACTTAACTTTTCTCAAACCTTGAACTAACCAATGCATTTTTCTTATGGAAATGTTTATCTAAGCTATGTTAATGTGCTATGCATTTACCCCAAGGCTCAAACCAACTTGACAAGCCAGTATGTTATACTCATACATTGTTCTCCTAATCTATGTTAATGAAAGTATATATTTGTATGGAAATCTGCCTTTCTTCAAGATTCATGGCCCGGATGACTCACCTGGTGCCAAGGTTATCTCAAAGTGCAAGTTGTGGGTGAGGGGCCTGGTGCCATTCTCTGAGTTTTGAGACCTTTCCTTTCTTCAATTAGCAGACTGCTAGTAGCTATATAACACCTGGCTAAAAACTAGCGAGGGGGCACTCTTCCTGCCCACTTCTGATGTCTGTCAGAAGCTTTCCCTATCTCTTTTATACTTTAATAAAACTTTATTGCACAAAAGCTCTGAGCAATCAAGCCTCATCCCTGGCCCTGGATTGAATTCTTGTCCTTCGGAGGCCAAGAATCCCAGTGTCTTTTGAGGTTCAGCAACAACCTTTCACATATCAGTATCAATTCATCTTACCACACCAAAGTCGAAAATAGGGGAAATGATGGGGACATAAGTGAACTCTGTACTTATACTCTATTTTTCTATAAACCTGAAGCTTCTTTAGGAAATAAAGTCTATTAATCAAAAAGGGGGGACGAACAGGACAACATCATTTAGAAAAAAGAGACACACAATTGCCCATTAACCTAGGAAAAAAAAAATATCTGAAAATATCTACACCAGAATGCTTATAGATGTAGTTCTTAAGGCTTGGGATCCTAGATGGCCTTTACACTCTCTTATTTTCCTGGCATTTTTCTTTTTGAAATATGCAGGTAGTGCTGCAAAGATCATGAAGGTGAAGTCGCTCAGTCTTGTCGGACTCTTTGCAACCCCACGGACTGTAGCCTACCAAGCTCTTCCATCCATGGGATTTTCCAGGCAAGAGTACTGGAGTGGGTTGCCATTTCCTTCTCCAGCAAAGATCATAGGAGACTATAAAACAGTTTGGTAGGCAACCAAAAAGACAAAGGAAAGCTCCCAAAATTGTTTTTACTTAACAATTTCTCTTGGGTGAGGTACTAACCTGGGTTTAAAAAGCAACATTTTCAGAACAGTCTGAAGAAAGGCCTAATGCTCTAGGGCAGGGGTCCCAACCAGGCTGTTGCAGAAAGGGGGACCTCTTCCAGGGCCCGAAACTGGGCTCTTGTCTAACACTTGGAAATGAGTTGTCCGAGGAGACACATGTGCTGACAAAGCAAGAGATTATATTGGGGAAAGGCACCCGGGTGGAGAGCTAAGGGAACCCAGGAGAACTGCTCTGCCACGTGGCTCGCAGTCTCGGCTTTTATGGTGATGGGATTAGTTTCTGGGTGGTCTTTGGCCAATCATTCTAATTCAGATTCTTTCCTGGTGGCGCACACATCGCTCAGCCAAGATGGATGCTAGGGATTCTGGGAAGTGGATGGACATACAGTGTCTACTTTTGACCTTTCCAGAACTCTTCTGGTTGGTGGTGGCTTATTTTTTTGTTTTTATTTTTGTTTTTTTTGCGATAGAATCTTTCTTTTCTTTCTTTTTTTAAAAAAATTATTTATTTATTTACTTTACAACATTGTATTGGTTTTGCCATACATTGACTTGAACCCGCCATGGGTGTATGTGTGTTCCCCATCCTGTACCCCACTTCCAACTCCCTCCCCATCCCATCCCTCTGGGTCATCCCAGCTCACCAGCCCCAAGCATCCTGTATCATGCATCGAACCTGGATTGACAATTCGTTTCACATATGATAATTTACATGTTTCAATGGGTGGTGGCTTATTAGTTCCGTATTCCTTATCAGGATCTCCTGTCATAAAACAACTCATGCAAATGGTTACTATGGTGCCTGGCCAGGGTGGGCGGTTTCAATCAGCGTGCTTCCCCTAACAAAGCCACACAAAGCCACACAGCAGGAAGCAACTGGCTGGCAACCATGCAAAGCTTCATTGGGGCTCCCCATTGTTCGCATTGCTGCCTGAATGCCCTGCAAGAATTCATATATCTTCTTCTAAGAATCCATCCCTGGTGCCAAAAAGGTTGGGGACTGCTGTCTAGCGGGCTGGTTAAAAACAGAAAGTCTCAGAAAGCAAGAGAAAGGTGGGAGACAAATGTCAGGATCAAAGAGGTGCTTAATTTCTTCAATGCAAAAAACAAGGGTATGGCTCCTCCCTTCTGAAGAAATGAAAGCAATGATAGCCCAGACTCCGGCAAGGCTCCACCTTTTTCAAGGAAATGAAACTCACAGCAGCCTAGTCCCAGGCAGCAGAAAAGACAGAAGCTAACAGGTTTAGGCTATCAGTGCTGCCTCCCTCCACTGGTTCTCCTGCCCCTTCCTGCCTGAGCATCATGAAGAAACTCAGAAAAACCCAAGCCAACAAACTGGACGAGTTCATCGAAGATCACCTCCTGCCACACAAGGAGTTCCGAAAGCAGGTCAATGAAGCCATTGACATCATCTGCACTTTCCTGAAGGAGAGGTGTTTCCGATGTGCCCCCCACCGAGTTCAAGTGTCCAAAGTTGTGAAGGTGAGTCCAGAACTGCCAGGCTGGGGAGAAGGGGGGCTGGTTTGCAAGTGTTTGCACAGGGACAGTCAGAGAGAAAGAGGCTGAGGTCTCTGGGGCTGGTTCTGATTTATCCATGCCGGAACTATAACCACATCTGTGAAAATAGCTTCTGGGGAGAGGGCATCCATCTGTAAGGTTTTAACAAATTCCCTGGGGAAGTGTATAAACCACCTAGGTCACGAATCTAGGCAATCTGAATCCTGGCAGTATCTACAGTCCACTAATCTTTGACCAGGTTGGGATCTCACCATTTCTGCAGAGTCTCGAGTTGGTTAAGAGTATACGTTTTGAAAGCAGATAGCACCTGCTGGCTGTGAAATCTTGGGCAAGTCACTTAACCTCTTTGTGCCTCAGTTTCCTTATCCAAATTTTCAGCACCTCATCAGGCTTGCAGATCAAGTAAAGTCAGCCATGGGCCAGTTTACAGTATTAATCATATAAGGTCATAAATTACAAGATGTAAAGAGCACAGATTTTAGAGAAAGACAACCAGGGTGTGAACTGCATCTCTGTCACCTACTAGCTGTGTGACTGGACTGATACATGATCTCTCAGCATCTGTTTCGCCATCCGGAAGATGACAACAGATAATAACAGTAGCTAGATCCCAGAGTTCTTGTGAGCATTCCAGGAGTTACAGCTGCTGATGCCTTCAGAGCAGTGGCTAGCACTCAAAATGTTAGTGATTGTTCTCAACATTTTATTTAGGGAGGCTCTTCTCAATGATAAATGTCAGTTCTCATTTAGGGCGGCTCCTCAGGCAAAGGCACGACCCTCAAGGACCTCTCAGATGCTGACCTCGTTGTCTTCCTCACCAATTTCACAAGTTTTCAGGAGAACTTCAAGCACCGAGTAAGATTCATCAAGGAAATTAGGAGACAGTTAGAAGCCTGTCAAGAAGAGGAAACATTTGAAGTGGAGTTTAAGGTCCAGAAGCGGCGAAGGAGGAGGTTGTGTGCTCTCAGCTTCGTGCTCAGGTCCCCCCAATTCTGCCAAGGGGTAAAGTCTGATGTCCTGCCCACCTTTGATGCCCTGGCTAAGCACTCCCAGCCACAAGGTATTTCAGTCTTTGTCCTATGTCAGAGATTCTTTATTTATTAATTTTTTTTCACAGTTTTAAGCAGAAATCTCCCTCAGTTCAAGAGCCTTTTAAAGCATCCTGTCAACATAGGGAGGAGATCTTAGTATCTCTCTCAGAGCAGGATAATTAGGGTCATACTCAGCCACCACAACAATATTAAGCAGCAAATTGGTACAGTTTCGGGGTAAGATGTTTCTTACAGCCAGGCTTACTAACTCTGCTTATGCCAAAGTGTGTGAATCTTACCTTACTAAAAATGAAGAAGCTACACATAAAACAGATCACCAACAAGGATTTACTGAATAGCATAGGGAACTATTGGAGAAGGCCATGGCAACCCACTCCAGTACTCTTGCCTGGAAAATCCCGTAGATGAAGTTGCCTGGTAGGCTAGAGTCCGTGGGGTCCCAGAGAGTCGAACACGACTGAGTGACTTCACTTTCAATAGGGAACTATATTCAGTATCTTATAGTATATCTTAGCTAATTATAACTGAATCACATTGCTGGACACCTGAAACCAACACAATATTGTAAATAAATGAACTTCAATAAAATAAGAAGAGATAAGTGAACGTTTTAGTCGCTCAGCTGTGTCCAACTCTTTGTGATCCCATGGACTGTAGCCCGCCAGGCTCCTCTGTCCTTGGAATTCTCCAGGCAAGGATACTGGACTGGACTGCCGTTCCCTTCTCCAGGGGATCTTCCTCACCCAGGGATTGAACCTGGGTCTTCTGCGTTGCAGGCAGATTCTTTACCATCTGAGCCACCAGGGAAGCCCAGGAATAGATAAATCCCATCCCCCAAAATGAAGCAGCATAGATCTAATGTAAACTCAGAATGTTAATTTCAGCTACTTCTCAAAGATGGGGAACCTCAGCAATCTTATGCTGAGCGTTGGCATCTATAGACAATCTGCAGGATCACTGGGGCAGGGAGCAATCCGTCTCTGAGGCGCAGTTCCCACTGTGTACCTTGGAGGCGCAAGGCATGGCCTAAATGAGACAGACGGGGAACCTCTTGCCTGGAGCCTGACAATATGAACACCAGCAATGAGATAACTCTCTCTGACAAACACTGACTATGGGGATGCAAAAGAGAGAGGTGGGGATCAGAGGACTTTCACAGACAAGGCGACAAGGGAAGTGATCTCTGACCTGATGCCTGAGGGATGAGAAGAGGCCAAGCACTCAAAGATCTGGGGTTCCAGAGGAGGAAACAGCAGGTGCAAAGACAGGAATGAACGTGGCATGTTTGAAGCAATCAGGGGAGTCAGTGGCAAAGTGATTGAGGCAAGAGGTAAGATGAAGGAGGAGACAGATCTCTCTATCCACGTGGGCCACTGTGAGGACTTGAGATTTTACCCAGATTTCCTGGGAAGCAAGAAGTGGAAGGATCAGGTTTCAAGGCCTCTGTATGGGCTGTGGAGGATCCAGGGAGGAGGGTGCCACCACCTCTGCTGAGTCCAGGTGAGAGACGATGGGTGACGGCGGTGGAGGCGGGAGAAAGGAGGCCCGGGGATGGACCTCAGGCCTCCTGGCTCTGGGCCTGCTGACCTCCTCACTGCCCCCCAAGGCCAGTGAGCTTGTTGTCTCAGAGGGAATGAAAGAACCTCAGAGAAGAGCTGATGCCTTAAAGTTCTGGATGTCTCCTCCATAGGTCAGGTGACTGAAGATTACAAACCTGACCCTCAAATCTACGTCCAGCTCATCCAGGAGTGCGAGAAACTGGGGAAGGAAGGCGAGTTCTCCCCCTGCTTCACGGAGCTGCAGCGAGCCTTCCTGAAGGGGCGTCCAGCCAAGCTGAAGAGCCTCATCCGCCTGGTGAAGCACTGGCACCTGGTGGTGTGGCCGGCCCCATGTGGGCAGAGCCGAGGAGGGGGAGGGGAAGGGAGAGAGTGGGGGGGAGAGGAGGGAGGGGTGGCGTGGAGGGGGGCAAGGAGCAGGGAGAGGCGTGGGGAGGAGAGGAAGGAGAGGAAGGAGGAGGGGAGGAATCAGAAAGGGTGCGGAAGGCAGGAGGGAGACCGACAGAGAGGAGGGAAGGGCGTGGAGGAGGGGAGAGGGCAGGAAACAAGAAGGAAAGGATGAAAGGAAGAAGGTGGAGGGGTAGAGGTTGTAGGGAAGGGGGAAGGTTAGGGGGCAAAAAAGGTAAGGCCTGGGATGGGTGCCAGCGGACATCTCATTCTACCTAGTCTTCCCATATCACGAAAGGAGGGCTCCATCCTTCCAGCTATGCTGGGCAGAACCATGGGTCTTTCTTATCTTTTTCACACACACACCCACACACACACCCATCCAACCAGTCTGCAAGTGGCTTTGTCCGTATCTAAAATATACCCATTATCATCAACTTCCACTGACCCCCATACCCTCCCCCGCACCATCCGTAATCTTGGGAGGCTCACGGGATCTGCCCTCAACCTCTCTGAACCCCTGTCTCTGCCCCCTCACCACCACTCCCAGGCTGTTCTCTCCTCTTCACTAGTTCTCCAAGGAGGAAACTCTACTCCAGCCTCACGGCCTTTGCATGAGCTTATTTGTTTATTGTCGATCTCCCCACTAAAAATGTCCACAAAAGAAGGGATTTGTATATTTTATTTATATATATTGTATAAATATACAATATAATATTGTATATTTTATTCACTGCTGTCGCCCCAGAACTTAGAATAGTGCCTGGCATATAATAGGTGCTCAGTGGGTAATTATTCAATGAATTAATGAGTGCTAAACCCCTACTCCCCACCTCCCAACACACACTCTTTTGTTCACTTCCTGACTGTCTGAATTTGGGCAAATGAAGTAACCTCTTGTGCCTCCCGTTTTCTCATTTGTGAAGAGTAACATGGCCCAGCAACACTAAATCATGTACCATGATGATGTGCATATGGTTTGTTTGGGTAATTTGCACATTTTAACAACTAATTCCTCAAATCCATCGTCACTATATCTTTCCATCTATTTTTGTCATCTTCAGTTTCTCTCATCAAAGTCTTACACACTACAGGGTACAGGTCTTTCACCTCTATGGTTAAATGTATTCCTAGTTTTTAAATTCTTTTTGATGCAATTATAAATGGGATTGTTTTTAAATTTCTCATTCCAATAGTCTGTTATTTGTGTATAGAGGTACTACAGATTTCCGTGTATTATTTTTGTATCCTACAATATTTCTGCATTCAGTTTTTGGTTATCTTAAGTTTTTTGGTGGTGTCTTTTGGGTTTTCTATGTATAATATTATGTCATCTGCAAATAGCAATAGTATAATGTCCTCCTTTTTACTCTGGATGTATTTTGTTTCTTTTTCCTGCCTGATTGCTATGAACAGACTTCTAATACTATATTGGATGAATGTGGGGAGAGAGGGCATATATGTCTTGTTTCCGATCTTGAAGTAAAAGCTTTCAGCCTTCACCACCAAGTGTGATTTTAGCTGTGCATTGGTCATATATGGCTTATATTGAGTTATGTTCTCTCCATACCCACGTTGGAAAGAGTCTGTATCACAGATGGCTATTGAATTTTCTCCAATGTTTTTTCTGTATCTGGGGAAATGGTCATATGCTTTTTATCCTTTATTTTCTTAATATAAATGCATCAACTGATTGATCTCTGACACTGAAGCATCCTTGCATCCGTGGAATATATCTAACTTGATAATGCTCTATGACCTTATAATATATTGGTGAATTTACTTTGCTAGTATTTTATGGAGGATTTTCCCATCTATGATCGTCAGACCTATCATTTTCTTTTTTGTGCTGTATTTGTCTGGTTTTGGTACAAAATGAGTTTGAAATCATTTCTTTATTCTCACTTTTCTGGAATAGTTTGAGAAACTTTGCATCAGCTCGTTAATTCTTCACACGAAAGCTGAAAAATTCATGTTTCTAATTTTTTTCCTCTTAGTGTAAGAAGAGACATGGGAAAAAACTACCTCACAGTATGCCGTGGAGCTGCTGACCGTCTATGCCTGGGAACAAGGAAGCTCAGAACCAAAGTTCAGCACAGCTCAGGGATTTCGGACTGTTTTGTAGTTAGTCCTGAAGCATCAGGACCTCTGCATCTACTGGAAAAAGTATTATGACTTTGAAAACCCTACTATTAGACAAGTCCTGAGAGGACAACTTGCAAAACGCAGGTACTCTATCCTCACATGGCTTAGATCCCCATATAAATGAAGCCCTGATTACAGCCGTGGCACCCTGGAAATGTAGGAGGAGGAAGGGTTCCCAATTTTGGATCATCAGCTGCTGTCAATCATGCTGAGCGCTTTACTCTTACCATGCAATTCAAATAATAAATTTAAATAATAACCTACAACCCTGTGAGGCTAGCACTGTGCTAACCATCCCAGAGATGAACTGAGGTTTGGAGAAAGAAGAGCTTGTTCAAACCTTCACATAAAATGAGTGAAATAACTGAAATTTTACTGACATAACAATAGCTACTGCAATAATAATAATTGCTTCCAGGAAGTAAGAGCTTGCTTCCTGGAAGTAAGACAAAAACACTCTGATAGAGTAGTGGAATTTTGGTTATTAAACCTGTCATGTACGGACGCCTTATTATGTTTCATTACTGTTGGGAGCATGCCAAGTGCTTCTCTAGGTCCTCATACAACATCCTTTGAGGTAGGGATGTTCAAATCTGCGCATTTCACAGATGACAATACTGAGGATTAGAGATTCAGCTGACCTTCCCAAAGACACACCACTACTAAAGAGCAGAGGTGAGATTCAAACCAGGTCTCTCATGGCCCAAATGTAAGCCCCCTTCACCTCGTTTTCAATGCCCACTGTAGGGCAGGGCACCCAGGTTACAACCCAGGGAGGGGTGTCACATGGGGCCCTTCTGCTGCCCCCAGACACCGTCTGCCCAGGCTGGTATTTTGCCCTGCCGGGAGCTCTGAACACCCCAGACACAGCCCATGTACTCACCTGTCCTCTCTGACTGTTGTTTCCAGGCCTGTGATTCTGGACCAGGCTGACCCGACTGGAAATATGGCTGGTGAAGAGCCACAGAGGTGGCAGCTGCTGGCACAGGAGGTTAGAGTCTGTCTGAGGTACTCGTGCTGCAAGAACTTGGATGGGACTCCAGTGAGCACCTGGGATGTGCCCGTGACACCTCCTGATTCCTAGAAGTAAATGATATTGATGGCGTGTTGAGATAACAACTTCTAGAAATCCTACGTAAACCAAATGGAATTTCATCTCGGTCTTTGTATTCTTTCAATATGGTTACTAGAAAATGTAGAATTACACCTGTGTCTGCCCCAGAATGAATCACTGGGTTAGACAGCAGGCTTACCAACTTACATTGTCACCCTGCCTTGGTACCAAAACCAACGTGTCATTTACAAAAGTCTGTTCCAGAAAAACTCCCATAAGGATGCACAAAAGATCAAGATGTTCTTACCGCCTGAGTCACTGGTCACCTAAGTGGCTGGACGACAGCCTTTGGCTTCTCCATATTGCTGTTCCTCCTTTGAGGCCTCCAGCCTTCCCGTGAGATGAATTTTACTTTGATTCTCATAATAGTACATTGAGACGTGGCCACTCACTCAGAGTCCCCTGGTGAGTGAGAGATGAGGGTGTGAAGTTGAACCCTGGTCCTTCTTTCTGTGAAGCTCCTGCTCTTTGTCGCTGCTCTCCATGTGTCTTCGTACACGGAATTTTTCTGTTTCCCATTTGGGGACCATGAGAAGGAATCTAGCAGAGCCTCAATGGAGGGAACATACTCGGCTGAGGGTCCCAGCTGCTGCCCTCTGCGACCCATCTCCATGTTGACACCAAAGCCACGCTGCCTACCTGCAGCTCCCAGACAATGACCGCGGGTGCCAGGGACACTCAGGCCGCCCCAGCCCTGAGAGTCAGGGGAAGCTCCGACATGGGACATTGGCGAAAGGACTCTCCACCACCTTGCTGGACCTTGTCTTGACTGCAGAGCCAACTGTCCTTCCTTCTTGCCTTCTTCACCCAGAGTCAGATTAGATCAGGGCTGTCGGCCTTCCCAGCTTCTTTAAGAGCCCTGATGATTGTCTCTCACCTGGGTGTTTCCCCAAAAAACAATCTGCCGCATTTAATCTCACATTGGCATCTGCTCCTTAGAGTGACCCAGACCCATACAAGCACCTCTGCCGCCACCCTCAAGGTAGGTGTGGGCTCTTCAGCAAATCCTAGCTGTGATGATGACGCGAGGCACCATCCTGCTCATCCTCAGCCATCACCTCTTCTCAGTCAATGTCACGGCCTACGATTAACTGAATTGCTAAATAGTTGCTTAACTGAAGAGCCACATGGATCATATGGTAGATATCGTATCATATTGTTAATTCTTGAGGAACTCTCATACTGTTTCCATAGTGGCGACACCGAATTGCATTCTCAGCAAGAGTGGTCAAGAGTTCCAGGCCCTCCACATGCTCACCATCACCAGTGTCCTTTATCACATGTGATAGCTATGCTAACAGGTAAAAGCAATGCCTTATGATTTTGATTTCCATTTCCCAGATGATTCATAATATTGAGTATGGGAATTCCCTGGTGGTCCAGTGGTTAGGACCGGGCACTCTCACTGTTGGGGCCAGGGTTCAATCCCTGGTTGGGCAACCAAGATCAGGCAAGCTACACAGTGTGGCCAAAATAATAATAATAGCGATGAGCATCTTTTCATATACCTGTTGGCCATTTGTAAACCTTCTTTAGAAAAATAAAAATTCAATCCTTAGTCCATCATATAGTTAGGTTATTTGTCCTTTAGCTAGTGAGTTGTCCAAGTGAAAGTTGCTCAGTCATGTCTGACTCTTTGTGACCCCAGGCACTGTATAGTCCATGGAATTCTCCAGGCCAGAATACTGGAGTGTGTAGCCTTTTCCTTTTCCAGTGGATCTTGCCAACCCAGGGACCGAACCCAGGTCTCCCGCACTGCAAGCAGGTTCTTTACCAGCTGAGGCACCTGGGAAGCCGAAGGCCCTCATTATTTTGTCACTAACCCCTTCTCAGTGGTTTGTAACCATTTTCTACACTTCCATTCCCTTTTCTCCCTTCATTTTATACCTGTTTTTCATTTTTATTTTATATTGGGGTATAGTTCATTTACATTTTGTGTTAGTTTGAATGTACAGCAAAGTGATTCAGCTCTACGTATATCTATTCTTTTTCATCAGGTACCTTTTCACTTCATTGTGTCTTTTTTCATTTCCTGGGCAGAAGCTTTTTAGTTGGATTAGTTCCCTTTTGTCTATTTTTGTTCTATTGTCAGTGTTTTGTTTACACATTCAATTACACTTTGGCAAAGTTGTCAAGAATATACTATGAGGAAAGGACAGTCTCTTCAATAAATCAAGCTGGGAACATTGGATATCCACATGCAAAAGGATAAAATCACACCTTTTCTTCCAGCATGCACAAATATCAACTCAGAAGAGATAAAGGCCTAAACATAAGAGCTGAAACTGTAAAACTCCTAGAAGAAAACACAGGGAGAAAGCTTCATGACATAGATTTGGCAATGAATTTATGAATATCATATCAAAACACAGACAAATGGGGGTGAGTTGGTGGTGCATACTAGTTCTGCTATGTGGATGCCAAATATTCCAGCAGCATTTGCTGAGGGGACCATCCTTCCCCACTGTTCTGCAGAACCACCTCAGACATATGTCCAGAGTCAAGTGTGTGTGAGCCTGTGTTATACCGTTGATCAATTTTTGTGTCCTTGGTTTAATACTACCTGTACTAATTGCTGTAGCCTGATATTAATTCTCAGTGTCTTGTAGAAAACTGTGTTCTATCCAAACTAATGTCTTCTCTTGGCTCTTTCTATTTCTATGTTAATATTATACTCAGTTTGTGAATTTTCACCCAAAATACAGGGAGGCATTTGATTGGAATTCCATAAATTAGTTCAGGGAAAATGACATCCATGTAATATTGAGAATTCCAGTCTACAAACTTGGAACTTCTTTCTTCTTTAATTACTCTGTAACCACATTTTATAGTTTTTCCCTGCATTGCTATTACATATGTTTTCTCATATTACTCCTAGATATCCATATTTATATTAGTGTACTTAGCAAGTTTTCTTTAACTTCATTTGTAATGTTGATCTCATGAAGACCACAATGTTTTCAGTGGATGTGTTGGATTATAGTACAATGAATGAGCTTTATACTTCTCTGAATTTTGTGGTTTTATTGTATTTTGCTGTAAATCTATATCCTGTATGACTACAAGAAACAATAAAGCGAATTTCTTCCAAAACTTTTTTTGACAAGTGTTTCTCAGCTAAGCTGTGATGATTTGGTCAAAGCTGGCAGACACAGGTAACAGAAAACTCGAAGGTGCCGCACTTCAGAACTGCTGGGTCACCACAAATCCATCAGACTCATCAACAGGGAAGAAAGCGTGCAAGGGATGATGGACATGCTTGGATGAAATCTGAAACAGCCGAGTCATAAATGCCTGATTGCCCAGAGCTGAGCCCCCACTCTGGGCCACTTCCTGCTGAGGAAAGGAAACCGGGAAGAACGGAGGTTGGAGCTGGAGAGATGAGCGTGGGCTTCTCCGAGCCTGCCTGGAGGCTCAGCATCCTGTCAGGTGCCCCAGCCCCAGCAGGGGTGCAGTCTGCTTACTACCTGCCTTCCCGGCTCCCAGCCCCATGGGAGCTGTCCTGTCTCAGGGCTTCTGTCTCTCTCTGTTCATGTTTCTGAGCATGTCTCCCACAGTTCGAGAGCCTTACCAAAATGAGGTGTCTCTAAAAAGTGGAGCAGAGATCATCATATCTCTCCTGGGACAGTCATGCCTAAACCAAGCAGGCAACGAGGAACGGTAAATTGGCACAATTTGGGGACCAGACATTCTTTATGGAACCCCCCACCAGCCTTACTTGTTTGATTTAATGGCAAAGTGTGTGAACGCTATTTTTCTAACAACGGGGCAGCATAGATTGATCCTCTGCAGTTGGGGACCTGAGAGGTACCCTTCTTTTTCTTTTTTTTTAAAGGTGTACTTTTGTGGGATCTGATACAAAGGAAGTGCTCAATTAATGCCTGCCATAATGATTATAAATAATTACCATCACTATCTTACTCATAGCAAAGAGTGTTTATTAATGATCTCTCCAGCCTGGTTCAAATTGTGATGCCAGAGAAGACTGTTGAGAGTCCCTTGGACTGCCTGCCTGGAGATCAAAGCAGTCAATCTGAAAAGAAATCAACTCTGAATATTCATTGGAAGGACTGATACTGAAGCTGAAGCTCCAATACTTTGGCCACCTGATGGGGAGAATTGACTCACTGGAAAACACCCTGATGCTGGGCAAGACTGAGGGCAGGAGAAGGGGATGACAGAGGATGAGATGGCTGGATGGCATCAACGACTAAATGCAGGATGTGAATCTGAGTAAATTGCAGGAGATATTGAAGGACAAGGGAGCCTGGCATACTGCAGTCCATGGGGTCGCACAGAGTCAGACACGATATAGCGATCGAACAACGACAATCCAGCCTTGTCGACATTCCCTCCCATGCCCTGCCCCCACAGTGCTTCTGTCAATAGAAAACAGTGCTTCCCTTGAGGTTATGTCTAAGAATCAGTCCAGTGTAGATGAGACAACAGATTTTCTACAAATAAAAAGTTCCTTCAAAAAGAATATATATGTCAGGAATGAGTCTGATTGTTTACAATTCGGTGTAATTTCTCATACAGTCCAATAGAGAACATTAGCTCCTGGGCTCCGTAAATCCCAGTCACATGCAAATTGCTTTCTTCACCAACTCCCCTACCACCTCATCTACCCAGCCCTCCAGGAAAAGGAGTTACAGTGGCTACCAGTGAAAGAGCTGCCCTGGTGACCATTGTGAAAAGGGGAACAGTAGACCATTAGCTCTACACACTCAGCAAAAACAAGACCAGGAGCTGACAGTGGCTCAGATCAAGAACCCCTTATGGCCAAATTCAGACTGAAATGGAAGAAAGTAGGGAAAACCACTAGACCATTCCGGTATGACCTAAATCGAGTCCCTTACGATTATACAGTGGAAGCGACAAATAGATTCAAGGGATTAGATCTAATAGACAGAGTGCCTGAAGAACTATAGACGGAGGTTTGTGACATTGTACAGGAGGCAGAGATCAAGACCATCCCCAAGGAAAAGAAATGCAAAAAGGCAAAATGGTTGTCTGAGGAGGCCTTACAAATAACTGTGGATAGAAGAGAAGCTAAAAGCGAAGGAGAGAAGAAGAGATATACCCATCTGAATGCAGAGTTCCAAAGAATAGCAAGCAAGGAGAAATAAGAAACCTTCCTCAGGGATCCATGCAAAGAAATAGAGGAAAACAATAGAATGGGAAAGACTAGCGATCCCTTCAAGAAAATTAGAGATCCCAAGGGAACATTTCATGCATGATGGGCACAACAAAGGATAGAAATAGTATGGACCTAACAGAAGCAGAAGATATTAAGAGGAAGTGACAAGAATACACAGAAGAACAATGCAAAAAAGATCTTCATGACCCAGATAACCACAGTGGTGTGATCACTCACCTAGAGCCAGACGTCCTGGAATGTGAAGTCAGGTGGGCCTTAGGAAGCATCACTATGAACAAAACTAGTGGAGGTGATGGAATTCCAGCTGAACTATTTCAAATCCTAAAAGATGATATGCCAGCTCAATATGCCAGCAAATTTGGAAAACTCAGCAGTGGCCACAGGACTGGAAAAGGTCTGTTTTCATTCCATTCACAAAGAAAAGCAATGCCAAAGAATGCTCAAACTACCACAAAATTGCACTTATCTCACACACTAGCAAAGTAATGCTCAAAATTCTCCAAGCCACGCTTCAACAGTACATGAACCATGAACTTCCAGATGTTCAAACTGGATTTCGAAAAGGCAGAGGAACCAGAGGTCAAATTGCCAACATCTGTTGGATCATCAAAAAAGCAATGGAGTTCCAGAAAAACATCTTCTTCTGCTTTATTGATGACGTCAAAGACTTTGACTGTGTGGATCACAAGAAACTCTGGAAAATTCTTCAAGAGAAGGGAATACAAGACCACCTGACCTCCCTCTTGAGAAATCTGTATGCAGGTCAAGAAGCAACAGTTAGAACAGGACATAGAACAACAGACTGGTTCCAAAGGAAAAGGAGTACATCAAGGCTGTATATTGTCACCCTGCTTATTTAACTTATATATATGCAGAGTGCATCATGAGAAATGCTGGGCTGGATGAAGCACAAGCTGGAATCAAGATGGCTGGGAGAAATATCAATCGCCTCAAATATGCAGAAGACACCACCCTTATGGCAGAAAGTGAAGAAGAACCAAAGAGCCTCTTGATGAAAGTGAAAGAGGAGAGTGAAAAAGTTGGCTTAAAACCCCACATTCAGAAAACTAAGATCACGGCATCTGGTCCCATCACTTCATGGCAAATAGATGGGGAAACAATGGAAACAGTGAGAGACTTTATTTTGTGGGGGCTCCAGAATCACTGCAGATGATCACTGCAGACATGAAATTAAAAGATGCTTGCTCCTTGGAAGAAAAGTTATAACTAACCTAGACAGCATATTAAAAAGCAGAGACATTACTTTGCCAACAAAGGTCTGTCCAGTCAAATCTATGGCTTTTCCAGTAGTCATGTATGGATGTGAGAGTTGGATTATAAAGAAGGCTGAGCATGGAAGAATTGGCGCTTTTGAACTGTGGTGTGGGAGAAGACTCTTGAGAGTCCCTTGGACTGCAAGGAGATCCAACCAGTCCGTCCTAAAGGAAATCAGTCCTGAATATTGGTTGGAAGGACTGATGCTGAAGCTGAAACTCCAATACTTTGGCCACCTGATGCAAAGAACTGACTCATTGGAAAAGACTCTGATGCTGGGAAAGATTGAGGGCAGGAGGAGAAGGGGACAACAGAGGATGAGATGGTTGAATGGCATCACCAACTCGATGGACTTGAGTTTGAGTAAGCTCTGGGAGTTGGTGATGGACAGGGGAGCCTGGTGTGTTGCAGTTCATCGGGTTGCAAAGAGTCAGACACAACTGAGCAACTGAACTCAACTGAACTGATATCAGTAAACAAGGTTGTTCCAGTCATCAGCAATTACAGCCCTTCAATGTGATCTGCTGAGCCCTGAGGAAACTCAGGACGGAAAGGTGTGCCCTGAGGAAAGGAAGCTCTAAATGTGAGAGCAGGACGTGTGTGCTTAGTCACTCAGTTGGGTCCGACTCTTTGTGATCCCACGACTATAACCTGGGCTTCCCTGGTGGCTCAGTCGCTAAAGAATCCACCTGAAAGGCTGGAGACCTGGCTTCGATCCCTGAGTCGGGAGATCCCCTGGAGGAGGCTTGGCAACCCACCTCAGTATTCTTGTCTGGGGAATCCCCATGGACAGAGGCGCCTGGTGGGCGCACAGAATCTGACATGACTGAGCGACTAAGCACAGCACAGACTGCAGCCATGGGGTTGGGATTCTCCAGGCCAGAACACCGGAGCGCGGAGCCATTCCCTTCTCAGGGGGATCTTCCCAACACTAGCCCCAGACAGCTGAGGTGCATGTCAAAGGAATGATTTCAGTGAGCCCTGACTCTGACAACTTCCCATACATAGAAGAGCACTCTATTTCTTAACTTGGGATTGTTGCTGGCCAAAATCTTGGCATTCTCAGCCCCGCAAAGCCAAATAAAAAATACAGAGATGGAGTTTGGAGGAAACAGAAAGGTGGCTTTAATTCTCAGCCGGCAGAGAGGGGAGCTCCGTAAACTCATGCCTTAAGAACTGTGCCCCCCACCATGAGGGGTCCAGGGACTTTTATAAGATGAGGGCTTCCAGTCAGGAATCAATGATGAGGAACAAAGGTGTTAGGATCCTGACTTGTTCCTCTTGCACTGTTTCAGACACAGTCATAGGCTGGCATCAGTAATCCAGTAATTGAGTCTGGCAGTTTGGCAGCTCTGCGGCCGTCTTTCTGATATATAAAAAGAAAAACTTTAAGGGGAAGAGTGTTGCAGGCGTAAACACCTGAAACATTTAGTCCACCAGGCCTCAAAGAGTTGGCATTGATTCAGGACTCAAGCACACGCACACAGAGGGAAATAGGGGTAAGCTGTGGCTCCTGCAGAATTAGGAGGCAGAAAAGCAAATTTACAGACATGTAGAGTCAGGAGCAGTTTCAGTTAAAAAAAAGACCCTGATGCTGGGAAAGATTGAAGGCAGGAGGAGAAGGGGATGCCAGAGGATGAGATGGTTGGACGGCATCACTGACTCGATGGACGTGAGTTTGAAAAAGCTCTGGGAGTCGGCGATGGACAGGGAGGCCTGGTGTGCTGCATGCAGTTCACAGGGTCCCAAAGAGTCAGACACAACTGAGTGACTGAACTGAACTGACAAAGTAGAAAGACTAAGAATGTTCAGGCCTGCCCACTTTTCTCTTTATCTTCTTTGTTCTCCGGAAAGGGAAAGAAAAAAGCTCATTCCTGTATTTTATGTTGTTGTTTTTTCCCCTTTTGCCTCAATGGGATATCTGGCTTTCTTTAATTTACCCAAGACGTTTGATGTCCAGACTACCTGACCTATGTTGTGAAACTTCTATACAACCTGGCTCCTCGCCTCACCTCTTTGGAGCAGTCTTCTCAGGGTCACTTGAGAGGCTGTCTCCCTGGCTTAAAGTGCTAAAAATTCCCATCGAATAAAACATAACTCAACTTTTATGCTGTGAATACTTTTCAGGTCGAAAGACCTCTTTACAAATCAGGACAGAGAGGCGTGCCCAGTTACACTTGTGTTCAAAGCTGCACAGCTAGGGATAGCTCACAATTTTTCTGTCGACCTAAAGAACTAAAGTTCATGAAAAAGTACAACGTATAGATTCATGCCATTAAAAAAAAAAGACAGAGAGAAATTATGTTTGTGTCTATGTGTGCATAAACCTAGAAAAATATCTCACAAGACTACCCCAAAGTAGTTATAGTTATGTCTTTGAGGTTTAGGATTAGGGGTGGACTAAACAATGCTTCCGGATTTTTCTGACTGTTTCTGTTTGCAATATACATGTCCTGCTGCCAGGATCACAGGAGACTATAAAACAATTTCGTCCACAGTGAAAAGAAGAAAAGGAAACCAGAAATCTACCTGTAATTGTGATTCCTCTTGGGCGAAGTACTAAGGTGGGTTTAAAAGCAGCTTTTCAGAGTATAGTCTGAAACAGACCAGATATTCTAGTCTGCCTGCTAAAGGCAGGGAGTAATTTTGGGATTCTGGAGGAAAGAGCTGAGAGATCTGACAGGTTTGTGGGGTAGCAGGAGCGTTTCATTTGCAGAGAGGCAAACTAGAAACAAAGATTCAAGACAAAACTCCTCCCATTCAAGGAACCGAAACCAGCAGCATAGCTCCTCCCTGCCTGTGAAATGAAACTTAACAGCTCCCTAGACGCAGGCACTGAACTGAACTGAGACGCAGGCAGCAGAGGAAACGGAAGCTCACAGGTTCAGGACGCAGTTAGTTCTGCCGCCTCTGGCTCTCCAGTCCCCAGCGTCATGATGGGGCTCAGCGATACCCCGGCCAAGTCTCTAGACAAGTTCATTGAAGACCACCTCCTGCCAAACGAGGAGTTCGGCACGCAGGTCAAAGAAGCCATTGACATCATCTGCACTTTCCTGAAGGAGAGGTGTTTCCGATGTGCCCCTCACCGAGTTCGAGTGTCCAAAGTTGTGAAGGTGAGTCCAGAACTGCCAGGCTGGGGAGAAGGGGGGCTGGTTTGCAAGTGTTTGCACAGGGACAGTCAGAGAGAAAGAGGCTGAGGTCTCTGGGGCTGGTTCTGATTTATCCATGCCGGAACTATAACCACATCTGTGAAAATAGCTTCTGGGGAGAGGGCATCCATCTGTAAGTTTTTAACTAATTCCCTGGGGAAGTGTATAAACCACCTAGGTCACGACTGCTTTGGAGATAAGCAATCTGAATCCTGGCAGCATCTACAGCTAACTAATCTTTACCAGGGTGGGATCTCACTATTTCTGCAGAGTCTCGAGTTGGTTAAGAGTATACGTTTTGAAAGCAGATAGCACCTGCTGGCTGTGAAATCTTGGGCAAGTGACTTAACCTCTCTGTGCCTCAGTTTCCTTACCTATAAATTTCGGTACCTTATAGGGCTTGCAGATCAAGTAAAGTCAGCCATGGGCTAGTTTACACTATTAATCACATAAGGTTGTAAATTACAGGGAGTGAAGAATATGGACCCTGGAAAAAGACAACCAGGATGTGAACTGTATCTCTGCCACCCACTAGCTGTGTCACTGGACTGATACATGATCTCTCAGCATCTGTTTCCCCAACCGGAAGATAACAACAGATAATAACAGTAGCTAGATCCCGGAGCTCTTGTGAGCATTCTAGGAGTTACAGCTGCTGATGCCTTCAGAGCAGTAGCTAGCACTCAAAATGTTAGTGATTGTTCTCAGCATTTTATTAAGGGAGGCTCTTCTCAATGAAAAATGTCAGTTTCATTCTTATTACCTGTTTTAGGGTGGCTCCTCAGGCAAAGGCACGACCCTCAGAGGACGATCAGATGCTGACCTCGTCGTCTTCCTCACCAATCTCACAAGTTTTCAGGAACAGCTTGAGCGCCGAGGAGAATTCATCGAAGAAATTAGGAGACAGCTGGAAGCTTGTCAAAGAGAGAAAACATTTGAAGTGAAGTTTGAGGTGCAGAAACGAAGGGAGAATCCCCGCGTTCTCAGCTTTGTGCTGAGGTCCCCCAAGTTCAACCAGGCGGTGGAGTTTGATGTCCTGCCTGCCTTTGATGCCCTGGGTGAGTGCTCCCAGCCACAAGTTCTTACAGTCTTTGTCCTATGTCAGGGCTTCTTCTGTTCTCTTTTCTTTTCTCTGAGCAGAAATAAAATGTCTTATTAACCAAGGTATCCCTTCAAGTGGGAGGAAACCCAAGCATCTCTCCTGGGACAAGAATGCCTAGGGTCTCATTCAGCCACTGAAATGACATTAAACAACAAACTGGTACAGTTGGGGGTCAAGATATGTGTACAGAACACCTACCAGGCTTATTAGTTTGAGTTTTTGCAAACTGTGTGATGTTCTTTCTAAAAATGAGGTCTCGGGTAAATTCAATATGTTAATTTCATTTTTTATGCAAAATGTGAGGCAACCATATCAAACTTATACTGGGGTTGGAATCTAGAGATAGTGTGCAGGAATACTGGGACAGGAGGCAATACATTCTTTGAGGCTCAATCTCCAGTGTTTACCTTAGATGCAGGGCTTCCCTGGTGGCTCAGTGGTTAAGAATGCACCTGCCAAGCAGGAGATGCAGGTTCGATCCCTGGGTCGGAAAGATCCCCTGGAGAAGGAAATGGCAACCCATTCCAGTAGTCTTGCCTGGGAAATTCCATGGGCAGAGGAGCCTGGCAGACTAGAGTCCACGGGGTCGCAAAGAGGCAGACAGGACTGAGCGACTGAGCAGGAACACAGACGTGGAGGTGCAAGGCCAAGGTATTCCATGGCCCTAAACGAGACAGACAGAGAACCTCTCTCCTGGAGCCTGACCATAAGAACACCAGGAAGGAAATGATAACTCGCTGTGACCACAACTAAATATGGTGACTCGATGGAGAGCAAAGGGGATCAGAGGACTTTAGTAGATAGGGCGACAAGAGAGGTGACCTCTGGCCTGAGGCCCAAAGAATGAGACAGAACCAGGCGTGGGAAGACCTCCCAGGAAGAAGAAACAGCAGGTGCAGAGACAGGAATGAACGTGGCATGTTTGAAGCAACCAGGGGAGTCAGTGGCAAAGGGATTGAGGCAAGAGGTAAGACGAAGGAGGAGACGGGTCTCACCATCCACGTGGGCCACTGTGAGGACTTGGGATTTTACCCAGAGGTCCTGGGAAGCAAGAAGTGGAAGGATCAGGTTTCAAGGCCTCTGTATGGGCTGTGGAGGATCCAGGGAGGAGGGTGCCACCACCTCTGCTGAGTCCAGGCAAGAGACGATGGGTGACGGCGGTGGAGGCGGGAGAAGGGAGGCCCGGGGATGGACCTCAGGCCTCCTGGCTCTGGGCCTGCTGACCTCCTCACTGCCCCCCAAGGCCAGTGAGTCTGTGTCCCCGGGGCGACAGAAAGAAACTCAGAAAAGAGCTGACATTTAAATTTGAATTCATTCCCAACAGGTCAGTTGACCAAAGATTACAGACCTGATCCTAAAATCTATGTCCAGCTCATCCAAGAGTGCAAGAAACTGGGGAAAGAAGGCGAGTTCTCCCCCTGCTTCACGGAGCTGCAGCGAGACTTCCTGAAGAATCGTCCAACCAAGCTGAAGAGCCTCATCCGCCTGGTGAAGCACTGGTACCAACAGGTATGGCCGGCCCCATGTGGGCAGAGCCGAGGAGGGGAAGGGAGAGAGTGGGGGGGAGAGGAGGGAGGGGTGGCGTGGAGGGGGGCAAGGAGCAGGGAGAGGCGTGGGGAGGAGCCAGGATGAGGCAGTGGGAAGAGGGAGAGGTAACAGAGGGGAGGGGAGAGCAGAGGGGAAGGAAGGGAAATCACAAATCCATCCTTCTAGTTACTGTGGCCAAACCATGGGTCATCCTTGGCTTCTTCACAGACACCCACATCCAACTAGTCAGCAAATGTTGTTGGTCCATATTAAAATATATTTATGATTCATCCATGGTCATCACCTCTGTTACCCACTGGTCCAGATCATCTTGGGAGGCTCAAAGGATCTGCCCTTGACCTCTCTGAACCCCCATCTCTGCCCCCTCACCACCACCCTCAGGCCATGCTCTTCTCTTCATTAGTCCTCCTGGAGAAAAAGTCTACACTCCAACCTCCGGGCCTTTGCGTGTGCCTATTAGTTTGTTTATTGTCTCAGGTTTGTTCAGTTACTAAGTCATGTCTGACTTTTTGTGACCCCGGGGACTGCAGCGTGCCAGGCTCCCCTGTCCTCTACTCTCTCCCAGAGCTTGCTCAGATTCCTGTCCATTGAGTCGGTGATGCTTTCTAACCATCTCACCCTCTGCCTCCCCCTTCTCCTCTTGCCCTCAATCTTTCCCAAAATTAGGGTCTTTTCCAATGAGTTGGCTCTTCGCATCAGGTGGCCAAAGTATTGGAGCTTCAGCTTCAGCATCAGAACCTCCAATGAATATTCAGGGTTGATTTCCTTTAGGATTGACTGGTTTGATCTCCTTACAATCCAAGGGACCCTCAAAGAGTCTTGCCCAGCACCACAATTCAAAAGCATCAGTTCTTTAGTGCTCGGCTCTCTTTATGGTGCAAGTCTCACATCTGTTCAGAACTAATCAAAGCTATGGTTTTTCCCGTAGTCGTATTTATTGTCTGTCTCCCCACTATTCCCTGGTGGCTTAGATGGTAAAGCGCCTGCCTGCAACGTGGGAGACCCAGGTTCGATCCCTGGGTCAGGAAGATCCCTTGGAGAAGGAAATGGCAACCCACTCCAATACACTTGCCTGGAAAATTCCATGGACAGAGGAGCCTGGTGAGCTACAGTCCATGGGGTTGCAAAGAGTCAGACAGGACTTCACTTTCCCCTCTAAAAATGTACAAGAACAGAAGGATTTATATGTTTGATTCCCTGCTGTATCACAGGAACCTAGAACAGTGCCTGGCACATGAGAGTTCAAAAAATGATTGTTAGGTGAATTAATGAGTGCTATATCCTCCACCAACACCACACACACACACACACACACACACACACACTTCTGTTCACTTCCTAGCCATCTGGCTTTGAACAAGTGAGTTAATAGCTCTGTGAATGCCACCATAGACTAGACCTAAATGGATAGGTGTGGATTTGCTCTCAGAAAACTTTATACCCTAAAACAAGTGGCAGGCTGAATTTGATGCAGGAGAAATGTGCTTTACACAAATGCTAGACAAGCCCATTTTTTCTGATTGTTTTCCGTCTACTCAGTGTAAGGAGCAGCTTGGAAAGCCATTGCCCCCACAATATGCCCTGGAGCTTCTGACGGTCTATGCCTGGGAGCAAGGGTGCAAGGAAACAGGATTCATCACAGCTCAGGGATTTCAGACTGTCTTGGAATTAGTCCTGAAGTATCAGAAGATTTGCATCTACTGGAAAAGGAATTATAACTCTGAAAACCCTATTATTGAAGAATACCTGAGAAGGCAACTTGCAAAACCCAGGTACTCCATCCCCTCATGGCTCAGCTCCCCACGTAAATGGACCCCTGCTTACAGCTGCAGCACCCGGAAATGAAGGAATTATTGATCATCTTCGGATACTTGTCATGCCACTGGGCACTTTACCACCACCATCTAATTTTAAAAACAACGTGCAAACGACCATGCGAGGCAGGCACTATGTTAATTGCTTCACTAATGAGTAAACCATGATTCTGAGCAGTAAAGAGCTAGTTCAAACCCTAACAGAAAATGAATGAAACAGCTGAAATTTCAACTAAAATAACAACAGCTGCAGGAACAATAATAATTCCTCCCAGGAAGTAAGAGCTTGCTATAAGACTAACACACTCTAATAGTAGAGTAAAAATTATGATTATTGTAACTGTCATGCACTAACCCCTTACGATGGCCCAATTCCTGTGCTGAGTATTCCATGTTGCTTATCTAGATCCTCACAGAACATCCTTTGAAGTAGGGATGTTCAAATCTGCCCATTTCACAGATGAGCATACTGAGATTTAGAGAGACCAAGACATCTACCCAAGGTCACACTCCTACAGAAGGCAGAGGTGAGATGCATTTATCAAAGCCCCAGTGCAAGGCTCCTCCTTCCGGTCACTGTCCTCCCTGGAGCAGGGCACCAGGACACACCCTAGGGAGTGGTGCTTTGCTGGAGCCCCGATGCTGCCTGAGTCTCAGCCTGTGCCAGGCTGGTTGCTTTGCCCTTCCTGGAGCATCTAGACCACCCGCCAGAGAGAGCCCAGCTTCTCATTTCTCTCTCTCTAAATATTACTCTTCAGGCCTGTGATTCTGGACCCGGCGGACCCTACAGGAAATGTTGCTGGTGGAGACCTATATAGCTGGAAGCGGCTGGCACAAGCAGCTTTGGTCTGGCTGGATTACCCATGCTTTAAGAAATGGGACGGGTCTCCAGTGGGCTCCTGGGATGTGTCGGTGAGAACTTCTGCTTCTTTATTGCTGCCCTGCCCCCATCCCTTCCACACAGCATGGGGTGTGTAGCTAGAGACCATTCCTTCCAAAGAAATCGCCTCTTACTAGAGGTCACCAGGGCTTCCGTGGTGGCTCAGGCAGTAAAGAATCCGCCTGCCTATGCAGGAGACCTGGGTTCAGTCCCTGGGTCAGGAAGATCCCCTGGAGAAGGAAATGGCAACCCACTCCAGCATTCTTGCCTGGAGAATCCCCATGGACAGAGGAGCCCTGCAGGCTACAGTCCATGGGGTTGCAAAGAGTCAGACACGACTGAGCGACTTTCACTTTCACAGAGGTCACTCCCATTCACATCATGCCAAGCTATGCTCCCTGATTTATAGTCATCTTCACCCCAGAGGGTTCCTAGACTTCTCACATCCCTATCCAGAGCTTATTCTTTAATTAATGCCTCCTTGGCCAGAAGTAACTTTTTTTAACAGCTCCAGTTGGCTCACTCCACTAAGAAGAAAAAGAATAACAACCACCACTTAATGAATACCTGCTTTGGGGTCAGGCTCCGTTCTTAGCCCCTTAAATTTCATTGTTTCATTAAATCCTCACGACACCCCATGAGCCCTGATTTTTACTCCCATCTTACAGATGAGAAAAGGAGGCTCAGAGAGGTGAAGTCACCTGCTCAAGGCCACTCAGCTAGGGAGCCCCAGAACCGGGAATCCCACTCAGCAGACTCCAATGCCAGGGCTTACTCCGCTGAGCTAAACAGCCTGCCTTGTATCCCCTCCCCTCTCCATATCACACGACAAACGAGTGACTCAGAGTAAGTGAGGATGTGAGCGTATCACACAGCTAAGTCAGGGCTGAGGGCCTCATCTTTCCACTCCAAGAGTAGGGATCTTTCTTAAGCTGGAGTGGGGAGGGCTGATGATGCCAGAGATGGGTTTCCCAGGAAACAGGCTCTGGGATGAAGTTCACATGCAGGAGGTTTCTGGGGAGGACCATTGGAACCGACACCTGTGTAAAGGAGGGGAGCGAGGCGGGTACCAACATGAGGAGAGGGGCGGCCGGGATGCTGGCCATCTCAGACCATCCTCCCAGGGAATCCTGGGGGCCCCAGCAGCCTCCAGAGTTGTCCTACAGAAGACTGAGGTGGCCAGGCCTTTATAGCCCCAACACCGGTCAGCTGCTGAATGTGGACAACCCAGGAGGGGCGTGACCTTCCTCGAAGGGCATCCAGGCGGCAGGTCACAGTGTCCACTGGGAATGCTTACTGAGACCCATGCCAAGCGGGGAGGCCCGGCTCTCCAATGTGACCACCTGCTTCTTTTCAGCCCCAAGAACACAGCAACCTGATGTTCCAGGCCTATGATTTTAGACAGCCTTATAGATCCTCTTCAAGAACCCAGCTCCATGAAGGAACCCCTCCCCAGGTGGAAGAGAACTGGACATGTACCATCCTCTGAACACCAGAGTATCTTGGAGGCAAGGTCTCCAGAGCCATCTGGGCCAGCCCTATTCATGTCTAGGGCTAGGGGGCCTGAATCCAAAGACAGCCGTGAACTGATGTCAGACCTGGGACCAGAACCCAAGTCTCCTGACCCCCAGCCTTCCCACTATTCTGTGCTTTCTCTTCTTTCATAGACAGCCCGCTCCCCACTGGAGCCTGACAATAGCCTCTCCGAGACACCAGGAGAGACTCAGGCAAAAGAGTGGAATCCCAGCCTTGACTTTCTTCTGTGAACCTGGGGGGAAAGGTGATGGTCTAATTTATTGTCAATAGTAACAAAAATGGTAGCAAATGCCATTTGTTGGGTGTTAATTAACCTCAAGGTACAGCGCCAAGAAGTATATCTACATATTATGTGTGTGTGAGCATATTCACTGATTCAATTAAAAATATTAATTGGGCACCTGCTCTGTGCCAAGCATTGTTCTGGCCACTGGATCACTGTTGTTCAGTCACTGAGTTGTGTTTGACTCTTTGCAACCCCATGGACTGTAACACGCCAGGCTTCCTTGTCCTTCGCTATCTCTCGGAGTTTGCTCAAATTCTTGTCCATTAAACTGGTGATGCCATCCACCATCTCATCCTCTGCTACCCTCTTCTCCTTTTGCCTTTAATATTTCCCAGCATTGGGGTCTCTTCCAATGAGTCGGCTCTTCTCATCAAGTGGCCAAAGTATTGGAGGTTAACAATGAGTAAAGCAGACAAAACTCCCTGCCTCGTGGAGCTGACATTTTGTGGAATACTCTACTATTCGAGAGATGAGGGTCCTTTCAATTCTCAGCTACAGATAATCCTGAGACAACCATCTTTAGTTCATCCTTTGTCCACATCTCTGATTATTTACCTGGGAAAAATTTTAGAACTGCCCTGTGTAATTCAGTAGACACTAGTCAGGGATGGCTATTGAGTACTTGAGATGTAGCTGAACCTAACCGAGAGGTGCTCATCCTTATACTTTCCTGAGTTTTCAGATTATTATTAATTTTGGGCTGTAGTTTATACTGCTTGTATGACCACAAGAAACAGTAAAGCAAGGTTTCTGGTTCAGAACTATCCTATCCACCCCTGCTATTAAAAGCTAGCATCTGCCCCCTTGCAAGGGCGTCTCGCCCATAAGACACCCCCCAACTCCGAGGAGCAGTATCCATCTCCCCTCCTGCCCACTAGGACTGTAAGTATGGTCAAGTCCCAACACAGCCCAGCTGGGGGCATGCTGGGCCTGTTGAGGGAGGAATGGACTTGGATCCGTAACAGCCGGAAGACCCGGCAGCATGTACCAGCACAAGGCAGGTGGGTGTGTGGGGGAGTGACCCCAAGGGCACTTTATCAAGGGGCGGCAGGGTCAGATCAGATGAGCAACAGCTTATTGATTTGGAAGTCCCTCCTGGACTGCAGGACTTCACACCCTGGCAAGGACCCCAGGAGAAGGCGCAGACTCGCTCTTAGCCAGGCTCTTAGAACGGATCAAATGCGAGCCTTTGCCTGGTGATATTCCCATGAGAGATGGTGGGAGATGGGATGAAAAGGTCAGGGAAGTGGATGTGCTGGGGGCCGATGTGCTGTATAAATCCAGAAAGAAAAAAAAACAAAAAACCCCACCAAATTATCTCCCGTGGAAAAGCAGAGAATACAGCTCTACTGAGGCCATAAAGGATATGCTAGCGAGGGACCTCCCTGGTGGTCCAGTGGTTCAGAATCCGTCTTCCAAGGCGGGGGACACGGGTTCGATCCCTGGTCCCAGAAGATCTCACATGCCTCGGGTCAGCCAGGCCCCGGTGCACCACAACTATTGAGACTGCTGTCTAGCGCCGACGGGCCACAGCTGCTGAAGTCTGCGCGCACCCAGAGCCTGTGCTCTGCAACAAGAGAAGTTGTCACAGCCAGAAGCCCGCACACCACAGCACCACGACTGGAGAGCAGCCCCGGCTCGCCGCCCCCAGACAAAAGCCTGCACAGCAGCAAAGACCCAGCACGACCAAACAAATAAACAGATAAAAGTGTTTTTTTTTAAAAGAGTAAAGGAGTCTGCCTGGTCAAGGCTATGGTTTTTCCAGTGGTCATGCATGGATGTGAGAGTTGGACTGTGAAGAAAGCTGAGCGCCGAAAAATTGATGCTTTTGAACTGTGGTGTTGGAGAAGACTCTTGAGAGTCCCTTGGACTGCAAGGAGATCCAACCAGTCCATCCTAAAGGAGATCAGTCCGGGGTGTTCATTGGAAGGACTGATGCTGAAGCTGAAACTCCAGTACTTCGGCCACCTCATGCGAAGAGCTGACTCATTGGAAAAGACCCTGATGCTGGGAGGGATTGGGAGCAGGAGGAGAAGGGGATGACAGAGGATGAGATGGCTGGATGGCATCACCGACTCGATGGGCATGGGTTTGGGTAGACTCCGGGAGTTGGTGATGGACACGGAGGCCTGGCTTGCAGCGATTCATGGGGTCTCAAAGAGTCGGACACGACTGAGCAACTGAACTGAATTGAACTTAAAGGAGTCTGGGGGGTTATGATGTGTCCGTGTGGGTTACTCGGTTGTTAACAAGTGTCCCACCCTGCTAGGGGATACTGATGTGAAACTGAAACTGAACTTGGAAACGGGAAACCCCGTTTTAAGTGAAGCCAGGAGACCAGAAGGGGGCGCTCTCACCTCTCAAATCAGTTCAGTCCCGCCGCTCAGTCGTGTCCGACTCTTGGCGGCCCCATGAACTGCAGCAAGCCAGGCTTCCCTGTCCTTCATCAACTCCTGGAGCTTGCTCAAATTCATTGAGTAGGTGATGCCATCCAACCATCTCATCCTCTGTCATCCCCTTCTCCTCCTGTCTTCACAATCTTTCCCAACATTAGGGTCTTTACCAATGAGTCAGTTCCTTGCATCAGGTGGCCAGAGTATTGGAGCTTCAGCTTTAGCATCAGTCCTTTCAAAGAGTATTCAAGACTGTTTTCCTTTAGGATGGACTGGTTTGATCTCCTTGGGAATCCAAGGGACTCTCAAGAGTCTTCTCTAGCACCACAGTTCAAAAGCATCAATTCTTTGGGGCTCAGCTCAAATACCACTGCAGAATGTTGTTGGGGGTGGGAGGAGGCTGGCGTGATGGTGGTTGTGGTGGGGTGGTGGCAGTGGGGTATATAAGAAATCTCTTGGCTTCTGCCCAGTTTTTCTGGGATCCTAAAACCACTCTGAAAAACTAAGTTTATATATATATATATGTATATATATATTTTTTAAGAGTAAAGAGACATAATACCTGCAACATACAACTCACATGACTCAGTAATAATAATACTGATAATACAATGTACACAGAGAATGAGGAGCAAATATGGTGAAATATTCAAGATCAAGAATATAAGAGAGTTCTTTGTGTTTCAGATGATTTCAAAATAAAATATTTTTTTTAAATAAAAACGCACAGACTTTAGAAAGCAGGTAGTTAGAAGCTAGCTAGATAACTTACAAGCTGTATGACCTCGGACAAATATTTTTCAGCTCTCTGAGCCTCTATATTTTCATTTAGAAAAGAAGCCTTATGACCTAAGCCCAGCCTACCTCTAGGTGTTTTAGAAGTCGGATAAGGGCAAGGAAGGGCCCTTTATGAACAGGAGCGATCATCAAGTTTCTCCAGAGAAACCAAACTGTGAAAATGAACTCACAAACAGAAACCTCATGGAGTTAGAAGACCAGAGAGGGACCTCTCACACCTCAAATACCTCTGAGGTCAATCCCAGGAAAGACAAGTTAATTAACACACCCCCAACAGGAAGAATGATCAACAGGGAAAAATCATCAATGACAGGCCAGGACAGGAAAGATGTACATTGCATCTCTCCTGGAGGAAGCCAACTCCCCTGGCAACTGAGCCAATGAGAACCCATTATCACCCTGAATTCTTGCTTTCCTCCAATGGACATGTGTTCAAACAACTCCTCCTAACTTCCTCTTTTTTCTCTATAAAGTAATATTCCTCTTCTTTGTTGGCTGGACTTGCCTGTAGCTTTTTGCTATTGCCTGCTTGTCCAAAAATGAAATTCTTTGCTGTTCCCAAATAAACCCATTTTGCTGGTAAAACAATGGTTGCTTTACTTTTGAGGTTAATAGAACCAATTGGTTTTATAAATCTAGATTTAGAGAAAAGTTTGTTTTAAGGAATTGGCTGTGCCACTGCAGGGGCCAGTGAGTCCAAATTCTGCAGGGTATAGTGGCCAGGATGGCTGGAAACCCAAAGAAGCATCTGCTTGTGGAATTGCCTCCTCCTCAGGGAGAGAGCAGACCTTTTCCTTTTCATCCCTTCACCTGATTGGACGAGGCCCACCCACATTATAGTGAACAATTTGCTTTCCCCAAAGTTTACAAATGTTGAGCTCATCTTAAAAATATACTCCAAAAAAAAATTCTAGAAGAATGTTTGACCAAATATCTGAATACCATGATCAAAGTCAAGTTGACATACAAAACTAATCATCACAGGACCTTCCTGGTGGTCCAGTGGTTAAGAATCTGCCTGCCAATGCAGAGGACAGAAGTTCAATCCCTGGTCTGTGAAGATCCCACATGCCACAGAACAACTAAGCCCTATGTGCCACAACTACCGAGCCTGCATACCCTGGAGCCTGAACTCTGCAACAAGAGAATTCAAGGTAATAAGAAGCCCATGTACCACAACTGGAGAGTAGCCTCCACTCGCTGCAACTAGAAAATGCCCGCTGACAGCAATGAAGACCCAGCGCAGCCGAAAACTACAAATAAATAAATACCATTTAAAAGATAATAATAATAAAATTAATCATCACAGCAGAGAAAGGGGTCTGTTCCTGTCCCCCCTTGGAGGTGTTTGCCTTCTGTGTTACAGAGGAAGCCAGTGGGAGCTGCCCAGGAGTTTTGTTTTCATGGTTCTGGACACAAGAGTTGCACGTCTGTCTCCTCTCTGGCCTGTGTGCTACTGGGTATGTTTTCTTTCCTTGCTGGGTGTGGCTCAATGCCCGATGAAACCTGCCAGGTGGTCACGTGTGTGCTGAGCGACTGGGCCCACAGGAGCAGGCCTCTGGGGACCTGTGTTTGTTCAGGGGCAGAACTGGAACCCGAGTGGCTGAGCCGTTGCCTTGCTGTGTGTCCCTAAGCAAGTCAGGGCCCTCTCTGGTCTCTTCTCCTCACTGTTCTCATCAACTCTGACTTCCCAAGCCATTGGGAACAGGGAGAAGGGGAAAGAGCCTCAAAAGATGACCTCTGGGAAAGTAATTTTTACATTATATATATTATATGTTTAGATGTAAATATAACTGAATCAGTTTGCTATACTCCTGAAAACTAACACAATATTTTAAACCAGTTATACTTCAATTATATATAAAAAAAAGATGACCTCTGGCCCCCTATGAAATTATTTGCTTTACAAACACTTTACAGCACTAGTCATGTACCAGGTCCTGTTCTAAGCACTTTGCAAGTATTTGAATCTTTGTATTAAGCCTGTGAGATAGGTACCATTGTTACCCCCATTTTACAGATGGGGAAATCAAGGCACAAAAAGGGCTGGCAGTGTGCTCAAAGACACAGACATAACCTATATCAAGCCCTCATAATCCAGCTCAAGGGGCCATGTTTTTAACTACAAGCCTCCCTTGAGAGCAGCGGAAAGGCTGGGGGCGAGGCCTGGATTGAAGCCTGGATTGGGCCGGAAAACTCTGTGAGTTTCCTTTTCCCCTGGTGTAAGTTTCGCTTTTCTCCCCTCTCCTCCCCCTGCACACAGAAGTTCCTTATTCTCCTCAGCCTCCCGCTCTGCCTCCAGCTGTCATCTCAGCAGCCAGTCAGAGCCATGGGCAGCTGGGAGGCCCACCTCTACGAACAGCCTTCTGAGAAACTGGAGGAGTTTATCCAGAACTACCTGAGGCCCTCTGAAGACTGTCAGAAAGACATCGACCAGTCAGTGGACACCATCTGTGCAGTCCTGCAGAAACCCTGCCAGTCCCTCACCGGGACAGGGGTGGCTAAAGTGAGTAGATGGCTGGGCTCAGTGCTTCTGGGACCCGGGAGGAAGGAGGACTTGGCGCTGAGCAGCCGCTGTGTTCTGGGCCCTGGGCGCGCAGACATCACCTTGTCTAAGCCCACATGCGAGTGACAGGATGGAACAGGGTGGAGAGTTTAGGGGTACATGTTGGGAGAGCGCTGATTCTGCCCCTTGCTGCTGTGTGACCCGAGGTAGGTTGCTTAACCTCTCTGTGCCTCAGTGTCTGAACGTGTAAAATGGGAGGGGAATAATACTCAGTGCCAAGTGTTAAGAGGCTTAAATGCATGATGCTCTGGCAAGAGCTTGGTACAAAGCTACAGCAGTAAATTAGCTGTGGTTACTTGTATCATTTTTATCCTCCCCATCTTACAGACAAGTAAACTGAGCCTGCAAGAGTTCAATAAAACTATTCGAGGATGTTCTGTGATTTCTCAATTCCAAGGAGGTGGGAGGCCTCATCAGTTAAGACATGTTTGGTGCTCTGGCACAAACCCTAGGGTGGAGGCTGAAGATTCTGGAATTTTGAGGAAGAAATGATGCTGGGAAGGTGCCAGGACCCTAGGGTGGGGAGGGGATTACGTTCGCTCAGCCTCACCCTCACGCTCTCCAGCACCGGAATCACACTTCTCTGCAGTCACGTGCTTTCTGGCATCTGCCCTTTCACACACCCACTAGCCCTAGGAGTAAAGACACATAGGCACGTGGTGTCTCCTGTTTTGGCCCAGATAAGGAAAAGGAAGCTTGGGGAAGTTATTATTAGTTGGCATTCGACCTGGGATTTTAAGCTCTGGTAATCTATTTGGGAGGCCTCCCCAGGTAGCTCCATGGTAAAGAGTCCATACTGCAGGGCAGGAGACATGGGTTTTATCCCTGGGTCAGGAAGGTCCCCTGGAGAAGGGAATGGCAACCCACTCCAGTACGCTTGCCTGGGAAATCCCATGGACAGAGGAGCCTGGTGGGCTACAGTGCATGGGGTCATGGAATTGGACACGACTGAGCAACTAAACAGTGGCGACAATGTGTTTGGGAGCATGCACCCTTAACCACTGTGCAATCCTACCTCTCAATATTGTTAACTTTTTTCTCATTAAAATAATATGTACAAGTGCACATATGTGTACAGCTTGATGGATTGCCACAGACAACATAACATGTGTGACCTATCCCAGATCAAGAAATAAAATTTTCCCAGCCCCCACCCAAGAGTCCCTGGGTCCCTTGTCTAGTCATTACCCTCAACCCCAGCCAACCATGCTCCTGACCTCAAACAGCATAGATTAGTTTTGCCTGTTTTTAAACTTTGTATAGAGTGACCAACCTTTCAGGTTTGTCTGCGGCTGAAGGGTTTTCTGGGACATGGACATCTCGGGGCTAAAACTGAGCAGGTTGGTCTCCCTGTCTAAAAGACACCATGCATGGTGTGGCATTAATGTGCGGGCTTTGTTTCTGACCCACCGGTTGATGAAACGTGTGCTGTGTGCAGCTGCTGTTTTCTCATTGCGTTGTTGCCATGTATTCCCTCGTGTGGGCACACCACTCTTGTCCACTCTACTGCTGAAGGTCATCCAAGTGGCCTCCTGTCCGGGGCTCGTAGGGAAAGGGCTGCTGTGGGTGCCCTGATTCAGCTCTCTGGGTGGACGGATGACCACCCACCACTCAGCTCTTAGACGACGGCGACGTGTGGGACTTCTGCTCGAGTTGAGAAATACACCTGCCTGCGGGGTGCCCAGTGACCTCAGAGGGTTCAGACTTTCACAGCTGCTTCTCTGTTGCTGGTAGGGGGGCTCCTGTGGCCAGAGAACGGTCTTGAGAGGCAACTCCCATGGTACCCTTGTCGTCTTCTTCGGGGACCTTGAGCAATTCCAGGACCAGGAAAAGAGACAATATGAACTTCTCGGGAAAATCTGGGCACAGATGAAACACTGTGAGTGCACGCTGAATCTGGCAGCCAAGATGGAGCTCCAGAACACCAACAGGAGCTCCAGGGTCGCTGTCCAGCTTTCCACAAAACAGCAGAGCATCCCTTTCAATGCTCTGGGTGAGCCTCCCGGTGTGTGCAGGGTGGTGGGAGGGTTGGAGGTGTGGGTCTGGAAGGGCTTGTCAGGAGAACAAAGCCAATGAAAGAGGTGGTGAGTAGCTTGGGGATGGAGTAAATACCACTGAAATCGAAAAGAAAGTGAAAGTGTTAATCGCTCAGTTGTGTCCTACTCTTTGTGACCCCACGGACTGTAACCTGCCAGGCTCCTCTGTCCATTTAATTCTCCAGGCAAGAATACTGCAGTGGGTTGCCATTCCCTTCTCCAAGGGATATTCCCCAGCCAGGGATCGAACCCTCATCTCCTGCAGAGCAGGCAGATTCTTTATTGTTTCAGCCACCAGAGAAGACTCCTCCTACCTTGAGCTTACTCTGTTCTTTAGAACCTCTCCTTTAACTCCTAATTGACTTTGGAGAAAATGTTCTAGGCTCTGAAACCTAGAGTAGAGTTCCTCAAACTGTGAAATGCACACAAATCCCCTGAGAAACTTGTTAAAATGATGGTTCTGCTTCAAGAGATTGGGGTCCAGAATTCTATATTTCCAACCAGCTTCATGGTGGTTGCTGCTCTGCGGACCATAGTGAAGATGTAAACTAGAATAAACATTGGTTAGAGGTAGAAAATGGGGAAAACATCTGAGAAAAGTTCAGCTAGAGCAGGTTTGGAGTTGTCCTCTAATCAGGTCAACATCAAGGCAAGGTTCTTCCATGGGCAACTGTTTGAATGGATCCGTGGTTGGATGGAAGGATGGTTGACTGAATGGATGAATGGATGAATGGATGAAAGGATGGTTGACTGGATGGATGGATGGTTGGTTGATTGAGTGAATAAGACTCACCATAGTCACAGCTTAGTGTCAAGCATTAGGTACATATATTATCACAAACTTAAATATCAGTGTTGACATCCAACCCCTCATTAAACAAATGGAATCAGAAAAAAATGACTGTATCCAGGGCCACACACCCAGTTACTGACAGAAATAGAATAAAAGCCCAAGTCTTTTAAGTGTCAGGCCTGGTGCCTTCAAAGTGGACACACACACACACACACAACCTGATGACTCACATTCACAGAAAGGTGACCTAGTTCAGAGGAAAAAATGCAGCAGTTTGTGAGTTAGGCAGCCCTGAATTCTCACCCTGATCCTACTACTAACCCACCTTTGTCCAACTGTAAGATCAAAGCTAGAAAAAGCTAACTTCCAGGGCCTTTCACACAGTAAGAATTGAGAATACATGCCTGACTCAAAGTGTTACTGAAAGGTGTGTGGGTCCAACTGCTCACCGTCCAAAAGTCAATAAATAGGCCGAGCTGATGGAAAGGAAAGTTAGCTTTATTTCAGATGCCAGCAACTCTGGGGGAGGGCAGACACCTGTCCAAAGGTTGACTCCTCCCGCTGATAGTGGAGACAAGCTTTTACAGACCAAGGGACGGCGCTACATGAAGAAAAAGTGCAGTCAGCTCTGACAGTCATCTTCATATTGGTCATCAGTGATCTGACCAGCATCATCTCAATAGCTTAAGGTGCAGTTTATCTTCAGTTCTAGGGTCGGTTTATTTCCATTTTCTTTGGGGTCCATTCTCAGAACTGTGGCAGCTCATGTCATGGGTACAGTCTGGTCATCGTGTAGTTAAGTTCTTCCACCTGGAGTTTTAGTATCTATATGACAGCTCACATATATGGCTCAGAGTGTTATCTATAATCCTTGAGAAGGGAACTCTCAAAGGTCCTTGGCTAAGCTTAATGTTGAGTTAGTCGTTTAGTCGAGTCTGAATCTTTGCCACCCCATGGACTGTAGCTCAATTATGTTTAATGACTACGTTATTATTATTTGGTCTCCTTTGACTCTTTTCCTTTATTTCTGCATGTTCTCATCTCTCTGGTTACACTTATCCTTTGACTAAAGTTTTCCACAGGCAAAAGGCAGACAGAGAACATGGTGGGGGTGGGAGGAGGCAAGGACCATAGTGTCCTACTCCATTTCAGCAGGAGGGCTGGAGACAAGGTGAAGAGACAGTGTGACTCAGAATTCATGGGATACCCTATGTTCTATCCTATGTTCTCTCCTCTGGTTCATGGCAAGTGGGTGGGGAGACAGTGGCAACAGTGGCTGACTTTACTTTGGGGGGCTCCAGAATCACTGCAGATGGTGATTGCAGCCATGAAATTAAAAGACACTTACTCCTTGGAAGGAAAGTTATGACCAACCTAGACAGCATATGAAAAAGCAGAGACATTATGTTGTCAACAAAAGTCCCTCTAGTCAAGGCTATGGTTTTTCCAGTGGTCATGTATGGATATGAGAGCTGGACTGTAAAGAAAGCTGAGTGCTGAAGAATTGATGCTTTTGAACTGTGGTGTTGGAGAATACTCTTGAGAGTCCCTTGGACGGCAAGGAGATCCAACCAGTCCATCCTCAAGGAGATCTGTCCTGGGTGTTCATTGGAATGACTGATGTTGAAGCTGAAACTCCAATACTTTGGCCACCTAATGCGAAGAGACTCATTGGAAAAGACCCTGATGCTGGGAAAGATGGAGGGCATGAGGAGAAGGGGACAACAGAGGATGAGATGGCTGGATGGCATCACTGACTCAATGCACATGGGTTTGGGTGGACTCCGGGAGTTGGTGATGGATGGGGGGCCTGGCGTGCTGCGGTTCCTGGGGTCGCAGAGTCGGACAGGACTGAGCGACTGAACTGAACTGAACTCCTTTGGGTCACAGCAGGGCGGTTGGAGATAAGGCCAGAGCGCCCTCTGCTGGCTACTCCCCGTCATGCAAGGATGATGTGAGAACGAAAGACCAGGTCTTCCTCACATGAAGTATCCAGAAGTTTCCATGAGATGGCGGCAGAGTGACACATTCCAAACTTGAATCTCTCTCTCTCTTTTTTTTTTTTCTTAGACTATACAGTAGTGGTTGCTTTCTGAGAAAAGTAGGGCTTCCCCGGTGGCTCAGATGGTTGGTCACGACTGAGCGACTGACATTTCATTTCATTTCTGACAAAAGGAAACTACAGGGGAATTTTTAAATTACATTCTTTACTAAATATTAGCCTAACTGCATTTTATTATCTAGCAGGACAGACCACCCCTCACCTTTTATGCAAATACCCCCATCCTCTTACAGATGAAGCAGTGAACGTGTGCTATCTAGCCGCATCGAGCCTTCTTTGTGGGCTCTCCAAGGCCAGGCTCCCTGAAAATCAGACGTTCTGCTTCTCTTTCACACCAGGCTTAAGTGAGAAGTCCAGCCTCTGGAGCTATCGAGAACTCAAAAGATCCTTGGATATGGTGAAAGCCAGGCCCGGTGTGTTCTCAGGCTGCTTCACTGAACTCCGGGAGAAGTTTTTTAGCAGCTACCCCAGCAAACTAAAGGATTTGATCCTCTTGGTAAAGTACTGGTGTCAATAGGTAAATTTCAAATTGTGTGTCTATTGCTATCTATCATCTGTTTCCCTTTGACTGAGATGATTCATCCTGGGTAAAGTGTCAGTACAACATCATTAAGAATGGTGGCACAGATAGTAAAGAAGCTGCCTGCAATGCAGGAGACCCTGGGTCAGGAAGATCCCCTGGAGGAGGAAACCCACTCTGGTATTCTCGGCTGGAGAATCCCATGGACAGAGGAGCCTGGTGGTCTACAGTCCACAGCGTCACAAAGAGTTGGACATGACTGAGTGACTAACATGTTCACGTTCAAGAATACAGCTCAGGACTTCACTGGTGGCCCAGGGGTTAAGATACCACCATTCCAATGCAGGTGGTGCAGGTTCGAACCCTGGTAGGGGAAGTAAGATCCCATGTGCCACAAACACACACACACAAAGGAATACAGTTCGATGCACTCTTATAGCCTTTAGGCAATCCTCAGCGAAATAGGGCACATTTCCTGCACCCCAGTCCATACTGCTCCCAAACAAACCTCTGTCCTAACATCTGTCGCCACAGATTAGTTTTGTTTTTAAACTCAGTGGCAGTGGAATCATACTAAACGTACTTTTGCTCAGTATTAGGCCTGAGAGGTTTTTCCGTGTTGTTGCAGGGAGTAGTGGTTCTTCATTGTTTGATACTATTCCATTGCATTGATACACTGTACTTGGATGCATTCCCCTGCTAAGGGGCATGTGGGTCATTCCCACATTGAGGCTGTCATGAATGAGGCTACAATGGATATTCCCCTACATGTCTTTCTTTCTGGTGACTTTAAGCAGTCAGTTCCTCTTGGGTAAAAATGCAGGAGTGAAACTGCTTTGCTATAAGGTATACTGTGTGTGTGTGTGTGTGTGTGTGTGTGTGCGCACGCACATGCATGCTCAGTTGCTCAGTTGTATTTGACTCTTTGCAACCCCATGGGCTGTAGCCCACCAAGCTACTCTGTCCATGGGATTTCCCAGGCAAGAATACTGGAGTGGGGTACCATTTCTTCCTCCAGGGAATCTTCCTGACTCAGGGATCAAACCCATTTCTCCTGTTTCTCCTGCACTGGCAGGTGGGGTGGAACCTTTTACTACTGCTCCACCTGGGAAGTCCACATACCTTACATATGTAATATATATTTATTATATATAAATAAGGAGGGCATGGCAACCCACTCCAGTATGCTTGCCTGGAGAATCCCCATGGACAGAGGAGCCTGGTGGGCTACAGTCCATGGGGTCGCAAAGACTGAGACATGACTGAAGCATCTTAGCTACATGTATGAATATGTATGCATATGTGTATACATATACACATGGCATATATGAATAAATATATGGACTATATAGATATAAATTTAACTTTAGTAAATACAGCTGAATAGCATTCCCAAATGCTTGTACCAGTTCACACTCCCATCAGCTGTGTATGATAGTTTCAGGTGATGCACATTCTTGCCAAAACTTGCTATTGTCAGTCTATGGAATTTTAGCCACAATATCACTTCGGTCACTAGCAGGGGATGGTGACTTCCTATAGACTTCTAGTTTCTTGCTTTCAGAACCCTGGCACGGGTCCCGAGTTACCCGCCAGCCTTCTCTCCTCTCACAGTGCCAGGAAAAGCTGGACAATTCCTGCCTGCTGCCTCCATACGCACTGGAGCTGCCTACGGTCTATGCCTGGGAACAGGGGTGTGGTGCGGAGGACTTTGATATGGCTGAAGGTGTCAGGACTGTTCTGAGGCTCATCGAGAAGCAGGAGCAGCTATGTGTCTATTGGACAGTCAACTACAGCTTTGGAGGTGAGACCATCTGCAACATCCTGCTGAGCCAGCTCCAAGCCCTGAGGTACCAAGCTTCCCATTCCGTGTCTCCTTCCCTCTTTATCTGCATGCCAGGCTGTGCCCCCTTAGAATGAGGGTCCATCCCCACTTTCCCCAGCCAGGGGATCTGTCAAAAGAACACCAGCTGCAGTGGTTAGGGAGGCAAAGAGAGGTCTGTCTGAAAGAGGAATGCTTCAGCATTTCTCACATTCTAAACCATTGTCACCTTTTGTCCGCAAAGCAAGCACTTCTCCTCATAGAAGGGGCTAAGGAGACGGGTCAGCAAAAAGAGGAGATCGTTTTATTATTTTATGAATGGAACATGTCTATGAAGCAGAGTAAACAAGGCCAGAGAGGCTAGACATCTTAGACAAAGCACTTCAGCAATTGGGAGGAACTGCAGGAGGTAAAATACAGATTCCTGAGTGCCCAATCCAGCCCTCTTTCCCTTAAACTGACTTCTTCTCCCACAAGCAACCCAACTGATTATTATTTTTTTTAACCGAACGGAATTTATAGGCCAGTAATCTTGGATCCAACTGACCCAACCAATAATATGAGCAAAGATAACATCTCCTGGCCACTGCTAAAAAACGAAGCTCAAAACTGGTTGCATTCTCACAGGCAGAACGAGTCGCCTGGACCATCTTGGAATGTTCTGGTGAGAGGACTTCCCAGCACCACTGCTGCAGACAGGGCCCGCCTGCCACTTGGACTGCAGTCTCTCCAAGATCACCCCAATTTGGTTTCCCAGAGCCGCTGTGACAAAGTACCATGCACTGGTCGCTTAAAGCAACAGAAGTGTATCCCTTCTCAGTTCTGGGGACTAGAAGGCCAAGATCGAGGCATCAGCAGGACCGCGCTCCCTCTGACGGCTCCAAGGAAGAGTGCTTCCATGCCTCTTCCAGCTTCTCATGGCTGCCAGAAACCCCTGGCTTGCGGCAGCGTCACTCCAGTCCCTACCTCCGTTGTCACGCGAACCTCTCTCGTGTCTTCACAGTGTCTGCCCTCCATGCTTGTCTGTTTCTCTGTCTCTCTGCTCTTCTTAAAGGACACCGGTCATACAGAATAAGGGGCCGACAGGCAAGACCTCACCTTAACTCGATTCTTTTCATTGTTTGCTCACTGTCCGACTCTTTTGTGACTCCACGGACTGCAGCCCTCCAGGCTCTTCTGTCCACAGGATTTCCTGGGCAAGAATACTGGAGTGGGCCACCATTTCCGGCTCCAAGGGGTCTTCCTCACCCAAGGATCAAGCCTGCACCTCCTGCATTAGCAGGCGGGTTCTTTACCACTGCACCACCAGGGGCGGCCCCTTAACTTGATTACCTCTTTGCAAAGACTCTATTTCCAAATAAGGTCACATGCATGGGGCCTAGAGGTTGGGACTTCAATGCAGTTTTTAGGAGGACACAGGTCAGTCTGTACACACACCCTTAGGGGCCTTCCCTCCCATTAAAGTGATGGTAAAGTGTAAAGCTGAACAAAGAGGAACAGGGCATCTGCAGACGAGAGGTTAGTTTCTGCAAGAGAGGGAGCAGGTGAGAAGGTGGTGACAGGTGAAATGGAGCAGAGCCCAGGAGACATGGGTGGTGACCCCCCCAGCAGATGCTGGATCAGGCCCTGAGCGCCTTTCACACACTATGGGGGGTGGGGGTGAGAGTGAGAAGTGAGGCTGGAGATGGGAACTAATGACACGGCCAGATGCACTGACTTCCCCTCTCCCCTCCCTCAAAGGAGAAGCTCATCGATCCACACAAGTCTGATCGTATCTGCAAGGTCCCATCTGCCGCATGAGGTAGGCAGAATCACAGAGCAGGGCGCCGTTGGGGAGGGGTATCGCTGTTTTCCCTCCCCTGAGCAAGAAGCAAACTGCCTCTGCAGACTGAGGCCTGAGCAGAACAGCAAAGAGAAGAGGCTCGGGTGAGGTGTCTTGAGCTGTGGTCCACAGTGCACATCCTATCTGACGTTTTCTACTGAAGAGGAGAGAACCACGCTTCTGGGCGGGTGTCAGACCCCCTTTACCCATTAGAGCATGGTTTCCTTCCAGAAGCGACCACAGGTGCGAGGGAGTGAGCAGGTCCCACCCTCCACAACCCCATTTGATTCTAGAGCAGGGAACTGTCCCCTTCAGAATGAGCACACAGCCCCTCCAACACCAGTACATCCCTCTCTTGCACACACTTAGAGGGAACAACATCCCCTACCGTGAAGGGCCGAATAGTGTCCCAGAAAATTCACGTCCCCCCAGATCCTCAGCGTGTGACCTTCTTTGGAAGCAGGGTCTTTGCAGGTATCATCGGTTAAGGGGTCACCCTGAATCAGCATGGGCTCTGAATCCAATGACTGGGTCTTATAAGACACTCAGGGCCAGACACAGAGGGGACAAGGTCACATAACAACAGAGGCAGGGGTAGGTGTGATGCCGCCACGAGACAAGGAAGACGGCAGGACTGCCAGAAGCTGAAAGATGCGAGGAAGGATTCTTCCCGGAGCCTTTGGAGAGAGCCCGGCCCCGCTCACGCTTTGATTTCAAGTGTTTAGTCTCCAGAACCGTGGTTTGTTACAGCAGCGCCCGGAAATCAGTCCACCTGGGCACAGGGTGTTTAACAGAGTCTGATAGGACCTTGAAAAAAGGAATGAGTGTGATCATCAGGAGTCAACAATACCCACAATGAGTGGGAAAGTAAGGAAGGAACACGGCAGTAGGAGAAGCTATTCATAGGAGGTACTGGCCATTGGCAGACGAAGCCAGAACAGAAAGTGGAAACTGGAGAGTGATTCAGAGCCCGGGGCGTCACAAACCTGTTTGGGAGAAGGAGCCAGATCCCTCCTGGGGGTAAGGAGGGGCAAGGAGGGCAGCTTTTGTTTCAGGCGGATCTTGGCTACCACCTGAAACTCAGGGTATGTCGATATGAGAACTCAAGATGACAAAGGTACCAGCAGGAGGGTTGGAGAGCAGGAGGGAAGCCTCGGTGGAACAGAGGAGGCGGGGGAGGAAGCGGGATGTGAGGTGATGGCTGGCAGGGGGCCTCTCACAGCTGGCTCCTTCCACAGCCTGCACCACTCTACATGACCCCAGGCCATCTGCTAGATAAGTTCATCGAGGACTTTCTCTAGCCCGACCAGACTTTCCAAGACCAGATCAAGAAGGCTCTTAAAACCATCTGTTCATTCCTTGAAGAAAATTGCTTTCGACATTCAACTACAAAGATTCAAGTTATCCAGGTGAGCCCTGGCTTTTTTCTTTGCTCTTGGCGGGGAACTAAGCAGTCCCTGGGTCTCGGCAAGGGTTGTGACCACCGAAAATGTGAGGGAAAGGATGCGGGAGGGAAGCTGGAGAGATCAACGCCTGAGACCCCAGCTCTCAGTGGGGGATGCGGAGGCAACGCTTAAGTCATTGACTTTGGGGTGGGGCACATGGTGTGTCTCGAAGGATCTCTATTCCCTTACCAGGTATCGAACCCCAGGGCCTATGGCATTGAGTTCTAACCGCTGGACCACCAGGGAATTCCCATTCATGATAGACTTCTGATTCTGCGTTAACCTCCAAGGTTGACACAGAGGTGAAGGACTGCTGCTTGGCCATCCCTGCCCATCCTTGCCTTGTAGTGTATCACTTGTAGTGGGAAAATTTTAGATTTTTACTACTAGTTGAAGATATTTTTTTCTCACTCTGGTCTTTTTTTAAACTTATTGATTTCAAGTGTAGCTGCTGTAGAATATCATATAAGGCACAGTAAGGCATACAGTCGGGCTTCCCTGGTGGCACAGAGGTAAAGAATCCACCTGCCAATGCCGGAGATGCAAGAGACTCAGGTTTGATCCCTGGGTCCGGGAGGATTCTCTGGAGTAGGAGATGGCAACCTGCTCCAATGTTCTGTCTGGAGAATCCCATGGATAGAGGAGCCTGGTGGGCTACAGTCCATGGGGTCACAAAGAGTCAGACACAACTGAGTGACTGAGCACACACAAGGTGTATAATATAGTGATTCGCAATTGTTTAAGATAATGTAATTAAATGCGTCTTTACCAGAAGTATTTAGGACGTTGACTTGAGAAGTAGGTAATTTAAAACTAACCCATCCATTGTTCGTGGGTAAATCCACACATCAAAAAGTGTGAGACAAACCACTTTTGGAATCAGAGGATTCTATTTCTTGGGAAAATGAAACACCCTGCTTAGGACTTAGCCCTAATTGGAGACACAAACTTGGGACTACCCCCGGCAACCTTATCAATTAGCCCAACGGGTGCCAGCCCACAGGGGCGAGGGGCTCAAGCTCTAGAAAATGCTGTATCTCGATTTGCCTTTCTTCCCCAGGGGGGGTCGACTGCAAAAGGCACGGCTCTGAAGACTGGCTCCGATGCCAACCTCGTCGTATTCGCAGACTCGCTGAAAAGCTACACCTCCCCCCAAAACGAGAGATGTAACATCATCAAGGAAATCCAGAAACAGGTGGAAGCCTGTCAGCAGAAGCAGGATTTTGAAGTGAAGTTTGAGATTTCAAAATCTCAAAGTCTCCCTGGGTGCCGAGCTTCACTCTGAAATCCAAAGTCCTCAACGAAAACGTTGACTTTGATGTGCTGCCTGCATTTAAATGCCCTGGGCAAGACTCCCAAGATTTGAGCCTCTGGAAGAGGAAGAGGGATTCTGGTGTGATGGAGGCAGGGGGTAGAGGGAAAGTCACGTGACTTACTCATCAGTCTGGGGTCCAGTGTCCCAACAGGTGACATAATGACACCAACATCTTACACCTGTGTGCATTTTCATTCTCATTTAAGTATCCCGATGAAGGCCAGAGAGCTTCCCTGGTGGTTCAGTGGTAGAGAATCCACCTGCCGATGCAGGAGATGCAGGTTCGACCCCTGGGTTGGGAAGATCCCCTGGAGGAAGAAATGACAACCCACTCCAGTACTCTTGCCTGGAGAATCCCATGGACGGAGGAGCCTGGAAAGCTGCAGTCTATGGGGTCACAGAGTCGGACGTGACTTAGCGACTCAACAACAACAGCAGCAGCCAGAACCTGCGTCATATATTCCCACGGTATCACTCGCAGAGTCTATCAGAGAATGAGGTACACAGGAATTCAGTACACATTTATAGATGAAATGCCTCAAGTATTAGGGGAGGAAATTTTAAAAATAGACTTTGGGAGAAATTCTGAGGCAAAAACAGGAAATCTGGGTGTTCACTTTCAATCATAGGCAAAAATTTCCATTAGAAATTCAATTTGTAAATGACAGATACACAATGATGTATTAAAAGAAACCAAGGGTATGTCAGGCATTTTCCAAATCAAAATCAAGAAGACTCTGGTACTTTCCTTCTGAATGGTTCTTAGTGTCTTTAGAGAGGAAATGACAGTATGTAGATTGGAGGTCAGCTAACTTTTTCAAGCCTGGGTCTCCTGCATTGCAGGCAGGTTCTTTATCATCTGAGCCACCAGGGAAGCCCTATAAAAGATAAGAGAGCAAATATTTTCAGCTTTAAGGACCATAATGTATCTATTACAACTACTCAACTCTGCCTTTGTAGCTTGAAACCAGTCATAGGCAATACATTAGTAAGTGAGCATGACTGTATTCCAATAAAGCTTTATTTATAAAAACAAGAAAGGGGCCAGATGTCATCTGGGGGCCATAGTTTCCAAAGTTCAGGTTAGCACTGTCCAGAAAGCCTTTCTGCAATAACAAAAATGTCCTATATCTGTGTTCTGTATCTATGGAAATGTGGCTATTAAATGTGTATCTATTTATCTATTAGTAGATGTCTAATAATTAATCTATCTATTAATGTGTATCTGTATCTATTAAAATGTGGCTAGTGCTACTGACAAACTAAATTTTTCAATTTTCCTTTAATGAGTTTGAATGCAAATAGCCATCTTGGCTGATGGCTACCCTATAGGACAGTGCAGATCTAGATAACACTTTAATAATGCCATCTATAGTCATATAAGCCATATAATTTTTAATAACTCATTACTCTGGAGATATTAGACATCAGTAGTTTACATACACTAATAGAGTTCAAAGTAATTTCCCAGAATTAAATTGTATTGACAGTGTTTTGAGATCTGTTACTGTCTGGAGAGACTATAGCATAATGTAAATTTCTTGCCCATGCTCTGTGAACTGATGTCTGGCTCCACACCCAGCCCCAGGACCTATGCTGAACTCATCAGTTTGTATAAATCTTCTGATGTTTCCCTGGGGGGAGAATTTTCTGTGTGTTTCACGAAGCTACAGTGCAATTTTGTTCGTTCCCTGCCCCCCAAACTGAAGGATTTAATTCGCCTGGTGAAGCACTGGTACAAATGGGTATGACAGCTCTTGTCCTAAAGCCACCTCATTATTATTATTTTTAATTATTTATTTATTGTATTTTAAAAAATGCTTTTATTTATTTTTGGCTTTACTGGGTCTTGGTTGCCGCTTGGGCTTTTCTCTCGTTGAGGCAAGTGGGGGCTGCTCTCTAGTGCGGTGCACGGGCTTCTCACTGCGGTGGCTTCTCTTGTGGAGCACGGGCTGTCGGTGCGCGGGCTTCAGCAGATGCAGCACGCGGGCTCAGAAGTTGCAGCACGCTGGCTCACAAGTCGCGGCTCCCGGGCTCTGGAGCGCAGGCTCGGTAGTTGTGGGACATGGGCTCAGTTGCCCTATCACATGTGGGATCTTCCCAGCCCAGAGATCAAACCTGTGTCTCCTACACTGGCAGGCAGATTCTTTACCACTGAGCCACCAGGGAAGCCCTTATCGTGGTGATTTTTGATTGCGCTGGGCGTGGGCTGCACGCGGGCTTTCTCTGGTTGCAGCGAGCAGGTGCCACTCTCCAGTTGCAGTGTGCGGGCTTCTCGTTGCGGTGGCTTCTCTTGTGGTGGGGCGCCAGCTCTGGGCATGCAGGCTTCAGTAGTAGTTGGGGCTCTGTTGCCCCGCTGCATGTGAGATCTTCCCAGACCAGGGGCTGAATGCGAGTCCTCTGCAGTGGCAGGCGGATTCTTAACCCCCAGACCACCAGCGAAGTCCTGGCCTTTATATTATCAGTACTCTGTGACCACGAAACCAGCACTCACCAGGTACTCACACTTGCCCATGCTGGGTGGGGACCGAACCACATTACGGAATCTTCCCGCTCTTAACCTGAGTGTCTTTGCGGTGTTCGCATCACTAACCCCATTGAGTTGGGTCAGATGTAAGCCCCTCATACCCCCAAAGCTGCTATACATGTGGTTTATTTTGCCTTTGCTCTGACACCCAAAGAATTCTGGAACTGAAGGGAGGATGAAGTTGGGATGTGCATGCCTACAAGTCACCAGCATGGCTTACCTACTGATGGGTGCCCATAACACACACAGATGCTACTCTCAGAAGGCAGGTTGGAGTGACAGGGAGCACCAGGGGCTGCATTTTCTGTACTGGTTTACCTCCCTTCACTTCCATCAGCTCATGGGGGCATTTTCTGAGCCCCCACATGATAGTTGCTCTTTCGGGAGATGTTTCCTTTCTGTGTCCAGATTCCTGAAACTGGAAAAGACTGAACTCTGTGGTTTCCAGCTCTACACTCAGCCCCGGGGTGCTCAGAGCGCTCAGGGCTCCCGGGTGACCTTGAGAAAGGACTTTGCTTCCCCATGACTTCGTTATGGTGACCTCTGCCTGCTGGAGAATGAGGAATGAATGATGCAGGTGGAATGTCTGGCCACATAATTAGCACAGAGCGGGGCTTTAGGAAGTGATGAAAGTGTTAGTCACTCAGTCGTGTCCGACCCTTTGCGGCCCCACAGACTGTAGCCTGCCAGGCTCCTCTGTCCTTGGGATTCCCCAGGCAAGAATACAGGAGTAGGTTGCCATGCCCTCCTCCAGGGCATCTTTCTGACCCAAAGATGGAACTCGGGTCTCCCTCATTGCAGGCAGATTCTCTACTGTCCGAGCCACCGAAATCCAGGACAAGACTACGTTATAACTCTGGGAAGGCACATAAAGCCAAAGTTCAACAAAGAAGCCTGCGTGGCTGCCTTTGAGCTGCAGACTGGCCCTTCTCAGGCCGCCAGCAGACCAGTCCCCCCAAGGCTGTGTCTCATGACGCAGTTGTCCCGCTGTGGCCACAGCATCCTTCGTGTGTACCTTCTTGCTACGCGCGTGTCACCTCCTTGCTTTAACCAGTATCGCTGATGTTTCCGCTCTTCCCTCAGTGTGAATGCAAACTGAAGCAAAAGGGGTCTCTGCCCCCCAAGTATGCCTTGGAGATGCTCACCATCTATGCCTGGGAGAAGGGGAGCAGGGCACAGGATTTTGACTTGCCTGAAGGTTTCCGGACGGTCCTGGAGTTGGTCATACAATATCAACATCTCTGTATCTTCTGGTTGGTCAACTACAGTTTGAATGATGAGAGCAGAGTTCTGAGGAACTTCCTCCTGGACCAGATGAAGAGAACCAGGTGCTCCAAACCCCTCCGTTTCTTAACCTTATTCCCTCCAACGCTATTTCGGTGATCAGAATTCACCTCCCAGGGGCACTGATTCATTATTCCTCATATGAAACTGAGAAGGGAACTGTGCTGACCGTCAGAACCTCCCTCGGTCTCTAGGGAAGCAGGGGAAATGCCACCCAGGAGGAACAGAGTGGGAAGGAGCAGGGTACCAGGTCCTGAGTTGCTCTCATCTTTCTCGGTCAGAAGGAAAAGCAGGGATTCATTAGCAGGTCTAAAAGGTGTGGGAGTTGGAAGAGTGTCCCTCAGAAATAATGCTATTATTCACTGCTGAAGGATCCTGCAGGTTATTTATTAGATCGGGTTCCCATCTCCATCCTACAAAACTGTTCTCCTCAAGAATAGGAAGGAATCTTAGTGCATGCACTCAGTGCCAGCAGCAGGGAACCAAAACAAGGGAAGCAAGAGAAGAGAGAAGAGAGAAAATAGAGGAACACTGAGAAAGAATGGAGGAAGGAGAGGAAAAAAAGAGAAAAAGATATCGTGGCTTGCCAGCCGTGGGTGTGACCAGCTTGACAGTGAGTGTTCAGCTAGTCATGTCTGACTCTTCACAACCCCATGGACTGTAGCCCACCAGGCTCCTCTGTCCATGAGATTGCTCAGGCAAGAATACTGGAGTAGGTTGCCATTTCCTCCTCCAGGGGATCTTCCCAACCCAGGGATCCAACTTGCATCTCCTGTGTTGGCAGGCGGGCTCTTTAATCACTGAGCCACCTGGGAAATAGAGTTGATTAAATGATAAATCATACTTCAGTTGCACCAGCATGGGGAGATGTTTATACCATGCCTTCCTGTGCATAATAATGAATAGCTTTCAAAACTTTTCTGACCAATATGATTTAATTCTAGGAAATCCTTTCCAACTGTTTCAGTACATTGGAATGACTGACATCTAAGCTAGAAAGACACATTGTTTTATCATGGAAAAGAGAATGGGCCCCTAATTCTGAGGCCACCGGTTCTGAAAATGCTTGCTTCTAATGACTCCTAACCTCTCGTTTAGGCCTGTAATCTTGGACCCAGCCGATCCTACTGGTGACGTGGGTGGAGGGGACTCTTGGTGTTGGCATCTTCTAGCGAAAGAAGCGACTGAATGTTTGTCTTCTCTCTGCTTCAGAGATAAGTTGGGATGTCCCATACAACCATGGAAAGTACCCACAGAATCATCCTTCTAAAGGAAGTGTCATCTGAAGATTACCCTGGGATGGGCTTCCATCCAAGAGCTTTCTCTGCTCTAGGAAGCTGATATTCACTCGGCCACACATTACAGGTAGCCCAGCTCAGGCGCTTAAATGATTGGGTTTTTTTGGTCCCATTTGATGAAATCCTAAGGCAGGCAATCCAGGAGTCACTCAATAGCTCCGTCAGGCTTTCCCCGGGAGCAGATTGTCTCCACCATGGCAGTTGGTGTCCGGGCCTGGATAGTTCTTCACAGTGTGAGCAGTGTCAGACACTGAGCAGCGGCCTCTAGTTCCGTGCCCAGGAGATGCGGGCGCACCACCCCCAAGGGCAGTAGCCGAAACGTCTCCAGGGACTTCCCTGCTAGGGATCCACCTCGCGGTGCAGGGCACGTGGGTTCGATCCCTGGTCGGGGAACTAAGACCCCACGCGCTGCAGGACGACTAAGCTCACGCACTCAGGAACCCATGCAACACAGCTGGAAAGCCTGTGCGCCACGATGCAAAAGACCCGTCACAGCCAAATAAGTAAATCAATTCTTTTAAGAAAAATGTCTCCAGAGATGGCTGAGTGTCACTCGGGGCACGCTCATCCCTAGCTCCTTCTGGCTCCACCCTCTTTAGTTGTCTAGTTGAGTCTTCCTGGCACTGAAGTAGCTGTTGCCCCTCTGGGTGGCGGGTTCGCCGTCAGGCTGGAGGAGCAGAAAGGTAGAAGACACCTACCCACAGGGTGTCTCATTCGAAGCCTCATCCAGCAAAGTCTTAGGTTTCCTTACCCGGAACCGTCGTCATGCATTGCTTGCAGCTTAAAAGTGACTCCAGAAAGGGGGGCGGTGAAGACAGCCACGGGTGGGGGTTGGGTCAGTCAACCAAGAGTGCCTGCCACACCTGTTCAAAGCTCCACCTCCTTCCAAGATACCTGCCACCAGGTATACTTGGCTCTCCCAAGTATACCTCTCTCTTTTAAAGAATCAGTTCAGGGCATAAAAGAGTAACACATGCCTCCCTTGATGGGCCCCATGACCCCTTCCCAGGCTTCTTCAGCTTCTCTTGAAATCATCACCTCCACGCCCTCCATAAGGTCTCGCCTCACCTCGCTGAAATCCCGTTCTGTGTGTGACCTCTGTTCTTAACACATCTGCTCTCATCCAGCTTTACGTGCGCCATGTTTGTGAACCACTCTGTATTTTTCCGATGAACTCCTTCCTTTTCCTTCAAGTCTTAGGGATCTCTTCCCAGAGTGAAGCCCTTTTGCTGGCCCTCGGTCCCTGTGATTCTGTCTTCTTGCTCTCATACTCCTCCACCCCGCCCGCCTCCCGTCTCTTCCCGTCTGTAGACAGGACCCGTGGGGCCCTGCCGCTTCACGGTCTCCTAAGCCAGGAGTGAGCTGGGCTATGCTTACAACTGCACACTCTCCACAGGCTTGGATTTCCTGTTGAGATAGACAGATATTTAGGTAGACATCAGCAGTTGTTTTATGTAGATGGACATGTACATGTGTTACGTATGTATGACTATTGTCATTTCCTTCTGAGCCTACCTTTCCCCTCACATCCGTGAGCTGCTTCTTGCCAAATCTAAAGGCTTTCCCCTCTGGCTTTGGCTGTCAAGACACTTGGAGGTCTAAATGTGTTAACCTCATGTATCCACTTAATGCTTGATTACTGGCACATACACCACCTGTCAGAAAAACAAGACTAGGTCTGGTCTTTGTCGCCAGTTCCTGGCAAAGGGCTTCAGAAACCCTTGGAACTTCCTGATTTGGGCTGTCTTTTGTATTCTGAGGAGCCCCTTCCGACCCTCCCTATGTTATGCTAACGAGGTGTGGGTCCTTAGTTTCAAAGGATTGGCCTTGCCTGAAATGCCAAGCGTGTGATGAGTGTTGAAACGTTCAACCCCACCCACTACCAACCTTCAAAAAGGACAGGAGGGCTGGAGATTGAAACGAAGCACATGGCCAGTGGTTTAATCAACTGTCCCTGTGTAATGAAACCCGAATGAAAACTCTGGACAACAAGGCTTCCTGGTTGGCTGGTGAGCATATGAGTGTATCACAAAGATAGGGGGATGGCAGCTTCTGTGCTCAGGAGCCTGCCAACCCTCCTCCCCTATATATCTCTTCATCTGGCTGTTCACTTGTATCTTTTATATAGAATGGTGATTGTAAAGATAGCCCTTTCTTGAGTTCTATGAGTCATTCTATGAATTATTGAACCTGAAAGGGGGGTTATGGGAATCCTTGAATTTGTAGCCAAGTCAGGCAGAAGTCAGAGTTGTCTGAGGACCCCACTTGCAGCTGGGATGTGGAAGTGAAGTTGCTCAGTTGTGTCCATCCAACTCTTTGAGACCGCATGGACTGTAGCCTACCAGGGTCCTCCGCCCATGGGATTTTCCAGGCAAGAATACTGGAATGGGTTGCCATTTCCTTCTTCAGGGGATCTTCCTAACCCAGGGATCAAACCCAGGTCTCCCTCATTGTGGGCAGATGCTTTACCATGTGAGCCACCAGGGGATGGGAACAATCTTGTTTGGACTTTGCCCTTTAACCTGTTGGGTCTACACCATCTCCAGGCAGTGTCAGACTGAGTTGAATTGTTGTAGGACATGTGGTTAGTATCAGTGAGTTGATGTTGGAATGCACCACTATTCTGGCCCAGAATAAGGACAAAGGAAAGTGCTGTGGCCTGAGGTTGAGAAATGGAAGAATGACCATTATAAGTTCACATCTGGTCAGTCTACCAGTGACCAGACCCCTCTAGACACTTGAACTTGCCCTAGATCCATAGATAGGAAACTGTGAGACATTGCCCCCTTCTTACAGAATTTATGATGTACTTAGACGAACCAGAACAAATTCTTTATAGAAGAATGAAGGGCAGTTTATAACCACACGCTAAGTGATATGTGTACAGTGGACGAAGACCAGCAAAGATAAAGAGCAACTCAAAGCCCTTCAGAGAGGCACAGCGGGACCATTTTAGTTTTCTCAGCATTCAGTAGATATTTAAGGTCATTAAGAGCAAAGAAAAGGAAATGTTTCAGTGATCAAGAGACATGCAGTCATCCCATGTACCCCAATGTTCATTGCAACACTCTTCACAGTAGCCAAGATAGGGAAGCAACCTAGATGTCCATTGCCAGATGAATGGATAAAGAAGATGTGGTAATAATGGAATATTACTCAGCCATAAAAAGGAATGAATCTGAATCAATTGTAGTGAGGTGGATGAATCTAGAATGAAGTTAGAGAAAAACAAACATCGTATATTAATGCATATGTATGGAATCTAGAAAAATGGTATTGACGAATGTCTTTGCAGGAAAGGAATGGAGACACAGATGTAGAGAACAGACTTGTGGATACAGTGGGGGAAGGAGAGAGTGAGACGAATGTAGCGTTAACATATATAATCTATCAAGTGTAAAACAGGTAGTGAGACTTTGTTTTATAATATAGGGAGCTCAGCTTGGTGCTCTGTGATGACTTAGAGGCAGGGATGGAACGGGGGAAGGGAGGCTCAAGAGGGAGGGAATATATATATGTATATATATAAAATTATCACTGACTTGGCTTATTGTATGGCAGAAACCAACACAACATTGTAAAGCAATTTTCCTACAATTAAAAGTTTTTTAAATAAAAAAAAAAAGAAACATGTAGTCACAGATCATCACTGAAAGTACCTAGGGTACCTTTTCCCCCTTGTATTTTTTTTTTCAGAAAACAATGAATAAGAAATAAACCCAGCCTTTCTCATACAAACTTTATTTCAGGATAAACAAACGGCCACGACTGATAAAGAAACAAAATTTTTAAGTGGAAAATCCTACATAATGTTTGTTGAAAGTACAAGTTAGAAATACCACCCTTTTGCAACCTCTGATGAAACAGATGGTTTAAGCAGAGACTGTCAGTGGATAAAGCCATAAGATGACTCTCTGGAACCTGTGAATATGTTGCCTGACATGGCAAAAGAGACACTGAAGATGTGGTTGAAGATTTGAGGTGGGGAGAGGATCCAGGTGAGTCCAATTGAATCCCACGCGAGCCTTTAAAGGCAGAGAAGTGGTTCCACCTGAGGTCAGAGAGGGTCAGCTACAGAGGAGGCAGGCAAGGCGTCTGAGCTGCTCTCGGAGAATGTGAGGCCTCTGGGGGCTCACTGCCCGCCAAGAGGCAGGCACCTCCATCCTACAGCACATGGGACCAGGCTCACCCACCGGTGGAGTGACCCTGCAGGCAGACTGTCCCCGGAACCTCCAGGTAAGGACGCTGCCCAGCCCACACCTAGATTTCAGCCCTGTGGGGCCCAGAACGGGGGAACCAGCCAGGCCTGCTAGGCCTCTGACCACAAAACGTGAGATAAGTTACTTGCATGGTTCTGAGCTGCTAAATGTGTGCTAATCTGTTCGGGCAGGGGCTGGTAAGCAGCTCAGGGCCTGGGCCTGGAGGAGAATCGGCCTCCTCCGACTCCAGGCCCGGTTAGTCCATCCTGCCCAGGCTGCGTCCAGGGGAAGCAACTCCCACACAAGAGGGAAAGCTGTTTTCTTCCTCTGCCCTCAGTACTTCTGACGCCAGTCGCCATGCTGTCTGTTTGGTTGGTTAGCTGGGGTTTGGGGGCTATGCTCAGTCCGCCCAAGGCTGCCCCCACCTCCACTTCAGAGTCCAGGCCTCCAGTGTGAAAGTGTCAGCCACTCAGTCATGTCCAACTCTCTGTGACCCCATGGACCTCCAGGTTCCTCTGTCCATGGGCTTTTCCAGGCAAGGATGCTAGAACGGGTTGCTATTCCCTTCTCCGAGGGATCTTCCCCACCCAGGGGTCAAACCCAGGTCTCCTGTATTGCAGGCAGATTCCTTACCCTCTGAGCCACCAGGAAACCCCCAGGCCTCTGGTGCTTCTAACCAACCAGTTATAAACTGGGGGTTCCCGGGACTCCCTCCTCAGGCGCAGTCATTTTCTAGAATGGCTCACAGAACCAGGAGAACAGCTTATTTACTA